TCTGCAGGAAGACTAGTTCGCTATCGAAGAACCATCTAACTTTTGATAAAATAGCATTTTTTCGAAAGATGAGACCTTAATCTTGAACTTCCATTAATCTCTTTAATACGTATTTTCTCTGAGCGCTAGCGGACCGATCCAAAGTTACCCCCCCCCTCCAATTTTCCATATGTTGTACACGTAGAGTTAGGAAAATGACTGTTTGCAGGAAGACTTGTCCGCTATCGAAGAACCATCTAACTTTTAATAAAATAGCATTTTTTCGAAAGATGAGACCTTAATCTTGAACTTCCATTAATCTCTTTAATACGTATTTTCTCTGAGCGCTAGCGGACCGATCCAAAGTTATCCCCCCATCCCCTTCCAATTTTCCATATGTTGTACACGTAGACTTATGAAAATGACTGTCTGCAGGAAGACTAGTTCGCTATCGAAGAACCATCTAACTTTTGATAAAATAGTATTTTTTCGAAAGATCAGACCTTGTTCTTGAACCTCCATTAATCTCTTTAATATGTATTTTCTCTGAGCGCTAGCAGACCGATCCAAAGTTATCCCCCCATCCCCTTCCAATTTTCCATATGTTGTACACTTAGAGTTAGGAAAATGACTGTCTGCAGGAAGACTAGTCCGCTATCGAAGAACCATCTAACTTTTGATGAAATAGCATTTTTTCGAAAGATGAGACCTTAATCTTGAACTTCCATTAATCTCTTTAATATGTATTTTCTCTGAGCGCTAGCGGACCGGTCCAAAGTTATCCCCCCATCCCCTTCCAATTTTCCATATGTTGTACACTTAGAGATAGGAAAATGACTGTCAGCAGGAAGACTAGTCCGCTATCGAAGAACCATCTAACTTTTGATAAAATAGCATTTTTTCGAAAGATTAGACCTTGTTCTTGAACCTCCATTAATCTCTTTAATATGTATTTTCTCTGAGCGCTAGCTGACCGATCCAAAGTTACCCCCCCCCCCCTCAAATTTTCCATATGTTGTACACTTAGAGTTACGAAAATGACTGTCTGCAGGAAGGCTAGTTCGCTATCGAAGAACCATCTAACTTTTAATAAAATAGCATTTTTTCGAAAGATGAGACCTTAATCTTGAACTTCCATTAATCTCTTTAAATGTATTTTCTCTGAGCACTAGCGGACCGATCCAAAGTTACCCCCCCCCCCCTCCAATTTTCCATATGTTATACACGAAGAATTATGAAAATGACTGTCTGCAGGAAGACTAGTTCGCTATCGAAGAACCATCTAACTTTTGATAAAATAGTATTTTTTCGAAAGATGAGACCTTAATCTTGAACCTCCATTAATCTCTTTAATACGTATTTTCTCTGAGCGCTAGCGGACCCATCCAAAGTTATCCCCCCATCCCCTTCCAATTTTCCATATGTTGTACACTTAGAGTTAGGAAAATGACTGTCTGCAGGAAGACTAGTCCGCTATCGAAGAACCATCTAACTTTTGATAAAATAGCATTTTTTTGAAAGATTAGACCTTGTTCTTGAACTTCCATTAATCCCTTTAGTACGTATTTTCTCTGAGCGCTAGCGGACCGATCCAAAGTTACCCCCCCCCTCCAATTTTCCATATGTTGTACACTTAGAGTTAGGAAAATGACTGTCTGCAGGAAGACTAGTTCGCTATCGAAGAACCATTTAACTTTTGATAAAATAGCAATTTTTCGAAAGATCAGACCTTAATCTTGAACTTCCATTAATCTCTTTAATACGTATTTTCTCTGAGCACTAGCGGACCGATCCAAAGTTACCCCCACCCCCTTCCAATTTTCCATAATGTTGTAGACGTAGACTTATGAAAATGACTGTCTGCAGGAAGACTACTTCGCTATCGAAGAACCATCTAACTTTTGATAAAATAGCATTTTTTCGAAAGATGAGACCTTAATCTTGAACTTCCATTAATCTCTTTAATATGTATTTTCTCTGAGCGCTAGCGGCCCGATCCAAAGTTATCCCCCCATCCCCTTCCAATTTTCCATATGTTGTACACTTAGAGATAGGAAAATGACTGTCTGCAGGAAGACTAGTCCGCTATCGAAGAACCATCTAACTTTTGATAAAATAGCATTTTTTCGAAAGATTAGACCTTGTTCTTGAACCTCCATTAATCTCTTTAATATGTATTTTCTCTGAGCGCTAGCTGACCGATCCAAAGTTACCCCCCCCCCCCCTCAAATTTTCCATATGTTGTACACTTAGAGTTACGAAAATGACTGTCTGCAGGAAGGCTAGTTCGCTATCGAAGAACCATCTAACTTTTAATAAAATAGCATTTTTTCGAAAGATGAGACCTTAATCTTGAACTTCCATTAATCTCTTTAATACGTATTTTCTCTGAGCGCTAGCGGACCGATCCAAAGTTATCCCCCCATCCCCTTCCAATTTTCCATATGTTGTACACTTAGAGTTAGGAAAATGACTGTCTGCAGGAAGACTAGTCCGCTATCGAAGAACCATCTAACTTTTGATAAAATAGCATTTTTTCGAAAGATTAGACCTTGTTCTTAAACTTCCATTAATCTCTTTAATACGTATTTTCTCTGAGCGCTAGCGGACCGATCCAAAGTTACCCCCCCCCCCCCTCCAAATTTTCCATAATGACCCATAGAGAGTTATAGGAAAATGACCGTCTATTTTAACCTTAATTTTTCTAGTTTGATATAAAAAATAATATAATTTATTATTTTTGCAAACTATTCGTTTTTGTTTAAAATCAGGTTAATAAATAATTTATTTAGTTGCATTAATGAAATTTTAATTAAAGACCCTTATACTTTTTACATTCTTCAAATTGGTTTTCCGGCTGGAATCCGGCCAACTTCCATTCAATAGCTATTCCTAGGTCAGTCTTTCTGAGCAATCTAGCTACATATAATTTGCACGTACACACGTACACACACGTTATCACTGTGCTATGGCATGCAAACGTAGTCTTCTTTCAGATCTTTGTTTTCATTGAAAAAAGTTCCCAGCATATTTTTTGGTGAAATTTTTCAAAAAGGCAACAGAAATAATGATTTAATAAATCATTATTGAATCAATTCAATAACGGAATGAGAAAATTAAGTACGGTAAGTTTGGTTTCCTAAACTACATTTCACATCCAAAATAAAACGTTTTTTTTCTTCAAAAAAGTGTGTGATATAATAACCTAGGCCTATAGTAAAGCAAGACCCAGCTGGCCTGGCGATGTGAAATGAATAACGGAATTTTAAAAAAAAGTAACAAAATATTTATAATTCAAGTGGTGCATGCTTATCGATAAATCTTCCCGGTAAATCGTATACTCTAAAAAAAAAATCCCTCTGTCTGTCTGTCTGTCTCTCTCTCTCTGTCTCTTTCTGTCTGTCTCTCTCTGTGTCTGTCTCTCTCTGTCTCTCTCTCTGTCTCTCCGGTGTGTAGCCCCCCCCCCCCCTCTCTCTCTAGCGCTCTCTTCTCTCTCACTTTCTATATATATTATATATCTTTCTCTCTTCTCTCTTGCTTCCAATCTATCTATATCTATCTTTCTAGCTCTCTCCGACTCCCTCTCTCTTCTTTCTTTAGTCTTTATATCTATCTTTCTATCTAAAACCATCCATCTATCTATCTAGTCTTGCTCTATCTCCTCGTAAATCCCATCAATCGGATTGTAATAAATTATATCAATCGAATAACATAACTTTTCTAAAGGAAATTATTTCACATTTCTAACTTCGCAATAAAAGTCTTTCTAACACCTTTTAGTTTATGACTTCAAAAATTCACTGTAATACAATGAAACTCAAACCACATCAAACTCTTGCTTCAATGTATTTCAGAATTTATTGCTTTTTCTTCTTGTTCTGCCTTCAAATATTTGGCGCACTATATCTGTTTGGATTCTTAATCGATGCGGATTCTTTTAGGGTTCCCAATTTGTTTTTTGTTTTTTTGTTGTGTGAGTTTATCGGCTCAATTTACTCCGGGAATTTCCTTTATTTTAATAGTTTTGGCTCATCAACTTTTTGACTTATTGCATTCTCCTTTATCATCAACTGTGACTCAATCTTATATACATTATTTCGACTGTTATGTTGAAGATTCTTTCTGGTTTAACATGACATCATTTTGGGCTATCCATTTGGTTCCTTGTGCTTTCTTTCTGTAACTCGATGCACGATTATCTCACTTGCCCTAATATTATGCATCGTTATGCCAAGTTGGGTGATATTGTACCAAGTCACTCTAACTGACTGTCTTCGACTCCATCACTTTGGCTTCCTTTCTGAAGAACTTCTATTGAATTGATTGAGATCTACTGAACATGTTGAGAGTGATGTTAAATTGTTAATGATCTCTAAAGACTTCCACCGCCCTTGTTTATGTTACTTTAAGTTTTAGTAGGCTATCATGTGAGCTATTTGAACATCTTGCTAGCTAAACTCAGCCGATATGTTAAGAGGCTTTCAGGAACTTTCCCGCAGCTTTTTTTTGCTATACTTTCCCTCTTTCTGGGCGGGAAACATGCACCGCGATAGCGGAGTGGATGGGGGGGGGGGGGGGGGGGGGCTGTTTCTTCATTCTGTAAGTGTTTCGAATCGGATCGGTCACATAGACTTGTAGGTTTCTACTTATTACATTTCCTCCTTGTTCGATGGGATGCACCGCGATTTATTTCTTCAAGATCTAAGTCTATGTCCCAACCCAATTCAGCCCATCATAAAAAATGTATAATTATGAGGAAGTTTCTCATGCAGGAATGGTCCACGGTCTGATTGCGTACGTTGTACCCCCTAGTTTGTAAAACATTACAATAGACAATGTTTTGTTTCTTGTCATCTCCAGGCTTTTGTACTTTCTTTCTTTCTGTTTTACTTCTTCTATTTTTTTTCTCCTCCTTTTTCATCTTCTACTTCTTTATTTCCTTATCTTCCTTCTCTCTTTTTTGTTCTCTCCCTCTTTTATGAATTAAAGATGCGCGTATTAAACATTATTTTACGCGAAATGCGCATATAACGCCTCTAAGCTTTAAACTAAAATGTGTTTATTGTGCCCATTGCTTCTAATTTTGGATGCACTTGTAATTCCCTAAAAAATCACTGCAAAAGTTACCCAGAGAAGATTTGATCGACATGGCAGAATACGAGGACTGTGACGTAGGATCGCCAGGTCCGAATTCGAGCCTCACCTTGGAGGATTTACGAGGAAGGGTGCGGTGTCTGGTGGAGAGTTTGGGGCAGGTTCGGGAAATGGTGTCAGAGACATCTGTGGGGTTTCAGCACACATTCAACAGAGTGGATGGAGTGGCACACGGGATCAAGGAGATGAATCGAGAGGTTAGTGACAGTTATTTCTGTCTTATGTGTTTTGAAAGCTGTATAGTTTGTCCTCTTTCCATAGCTAAGGTTTTTTTTAGAAATATAGACCTATATGTTGTTTACCATTTTCATCTAAATCGCTTCTTCTTCGTCTTCTTTTTTCCGCATTCTTGCATCCTTCTTCAATAACTTGTCGACTTTATTTTTCTAACAATTAAGGTAAAATATTAATGGTACAATTATATTATGACTTTGTTCGATGATAGCTTATGATTGATAATGGCAAGAATTTTCTTTTCTTCCAGTTTTAAGACCAAACGCAAATAAGTGTTGCAGTCTAATTTAAAGGCACCTGCAACGCGTGAAAAAATGTCTTCATTAAACTGATATTCATATAAACTTGAAAGATGGGCCACTACTTTCAATGGATGATTTAGAAAGAAAATAAAGAAATCACCAAATAAGTTACAAACAATCTAGATCATTTTGTTAAACAGAAGTGAATAAATCTCGATATTATGTGGTCTACTTGTATTGGGAAAATCGCCTCTAGCTTTGTGGTCTTATTTCTACAAAAAAGAGTTTATCATCTTTTTATTTATTTTCGTGTCCAGTTAAGGAGCACTCGTGAGGCCCTGGAACAAGCGAAGGCAAAGCTGGACCAGGAGCTCGATCCCCAAACCGAAAGAGCGATGGGCAAGTTCTTGAGGGAGCACCTCAGAGCGGCCACACCCAGGGAGGACTTTGCTCTGTGTCGGAAGATCCGCGGTTCGTATCCCGAGCCGGTGGACAGGGGAACCACTGCGAGGCCCGCAGGAGGGCCGATGGTCCATCAACCACAATTCGCAGAGCCTGGTCTTTTTCCGTTTTAGAGAGAGAGGGGACGGAACTCAAGGAAGGGGTATTAATGAAAGCAAGGGAGGGGGGTTGGAAATATAGAGCGAATGGAGATAGATACACAACTTTGAGAGAGAAACGCTTTCGTAACATTAGGGGTTCATGTCCCCAGGTGAACAGAGAGAGAGAGAGAGAGAGAGAGGGGGGGGGGAGGGAGAGCGAGTGTGTGTGCGTGTGTGTGTGTGTGTGAAAGAGAGAGAGAGAGAGAGAGAGAGAGAGAGAGAGAGAGAGAAAGATACGCTTTTGTAAGATCAGGGGTTCATGTCCCCGAGGTGAACAGAGAGAGAGAGAGAGAGAGAGAGAAATAAGGGAGACATTTTCGAGAGAAAAGTAATGAAATTGAATAAAGACCGCAAAATGAAATGGACTAAAGGAGAGAATTGGATGGATAGTAAATAAGAATAATGAGAAGTACAAGAAATAGTGAGAAAGAATGAGTGCCAGTATTTATCCAATAAGAGTGATAGAAGAGAAATATTAATTACATATAGAAAGTATGAAATGAATACAAAAGGCAATTGTTATATGTCCAGAAAAAATATCTAAGGATATTCATATCAATAAAAGAGGACTAAGTAAATAAGTTTGAAATAGATATAAATTGTATTGTATTAAATGTAATACGAAAAATGCATGACTTACAAAATTTATGTATAAACATTTGGAATGATGAATACAAAGCAATAATTTGTTGTAGTACTGTATGTATAGAAACAATACTGCAATCACATTATCCAATAAATAAGACATTCTATAGCAAAATTTGAGGTTTGGTTTTTATTTTTCATATCTGTGTCACAGCAAACATAATGACATACTAACAAACTTGTGTTGGTTTTAATGATTGTAAAATATAGTGACCACACAATATATAAATGAAAATCTACTATTCATAATGAGAAGGGAAAAAAAACAGGGAAAATGTAACTGACATTTACATATGGTCTAGTCTTTTATCAGTTTTCTTTAGAAGACTAAAATTGCCAATCATCGTAATACTTATACATGTATTTGTCATTGTTTTTGATTGTCTAGTTCTTGCTGTGCAATGTCAAACTATAACACACATACACTATACCATACAAATACGAAGCGGTAAACTGCCACCTTTAAAAAAAAAATGTGTATTCAATGATTTTCAAAGGATATTCAAATTAAGGATTTTCGTTTTTAAAGAATGATCCGTTTGGAGCCAGAAATACTTTAACTGTATAAAATGATATTGACTAAAGATAAAGGTGAGTTCTGGTAATGTGATTGCATTGTGAAAGAAAAGGTGTGGAATGGATCAGAAAAGTTGATCATATAGCATGTGTGTACTGCAATTCTGGAATCATCAAAATCATCATAAATTTGGCCCAGTCTTGCATGGTAAAGTAACAATCACTGTACACAGAAAGATGTATATGGGACACTACAAATGGTGTCGGAGCTAGTACTACCTTGATTTTCTTATCTTTCTATGCTCATTACTCAGCCAGTATACATTTTCTTCTAAAATTGTTTGGCACATGACATTTATTTGTAATCTTGAACATTCAGTGTAAGTTTCGTTAGATTCTGTGAGAATTCATTTCTTTTTTTTACCAGAACTCAAGTTCATCTTTAATAACCATCTGGCACCAACCAGATGATAGGATTATAACAATTCATATTATAGTTTACTTATAATATATAAACATTCCATAAAAGACAGCCTAGACTTTAATTCAAAATCACATAGAATAAATGGCACCATTTGTATAATACTTATACATTTCTGGAATGCAATTACAAGAAACATGATGGAATGATAACTTACTATAGTCTAATTTTAAATTTGATCTTTTCACAATACTATACATTATGCATATCTGCTAGAAAATTCATTTAAGATATGAATTATATAAACTATGCACTGAATAGATGATGTACATGTACATTTGTTTGACATGACTATTAATTTCTGTTCACACACAGGAGACGAAGGATTAACTTAGATGACAAATACATGATATCACTTTTTTTCCTAATCTAATCAAAGTTGATAGACAAAATCAACATCCAATCAAAAAACAAACAAATGAATAGAAGATATATCATGCCATAGGAAAGAGATGCAGCTTCAAAAGTATCTCAAGGTGATAAAAACAAGGACATCAGAACAAACAAAAGAATTCATAGAAACAAACCTTACATTTAGATGAAAGCAAAGTACATTAAAATAATTTTCAATGCAGTAAATTTCAGTTTTCATGTGGTAAAATAACTTAGAAATGACTGTGTCTTGACAAAAAGAAACATCAAATTCACACGGTGAGTTGAATGACAATTGAAGAATGCTAATTAATGAATACAATCATGATTATTTATGTATTATGCAACTCAATAATAGATCCTCTTTTATTGAGCACAGTCGAGTGTGATTAATTCATGGAGATTATCAGACAATATTTCCTTGAAAAGTATGGGAAGACGTTAATCCACATTTGCCACTCTCCACCTAGGTTTGATGTTGGGAGTATCACGGTGTGACGGACATGTCAGCGCTATATTAAGAAGCCACCATTACCATTATCCTCGAGAAGGCGCAATAGCTCAGTCGGTAGAGCAGTGGTCTCGTAATCCGGTGACCCGGGTTCAATGCGCTAGTGCCCTTTGGTAAGGCATTAATCCTCATTACCAGGTACCTCAGAGAGGACCTAAAGCCATCGGCCGTCTGGTTGCTTACTAACAAGCATTCATGCTTTCTAGCAGTCAGGTAAAATAACCACCACATAACCACCATTATATACTTTTGAAATCATCATGACATTACAATTGAAGGTGCTGAGACATTCTTCTTGATCTTCTTAAGACCGAGATGATTAATATCCTCTGTAGAAGCTTCTGGGAGTCCATGACGAAAAATGAAACTGGATAAAAAAGCATCTTGAGATCATTGTGGCATCATAATATCTGTAAGTGTGGGTGTGTTCCAAACCTTTCTCAGTACCAGCACAATGTTTAAAAAAAACTTGTTATCAATAACAAATTCTAATTTCTATGACAAATTTGCTCTCAGCCAATCAAAGGCCACAATTTCATTAGTTTATAACAGTTATTGTAACTTGTTATTGATAACAAGTTTTTATGAAACAGGACCCTGAAAATTGAGAATCCCCTATGAGTCACTCTCTGTGTAAATGTTCTTTTGGTTATTTATTAAATTTAAATGATTTATTAAAGTGAGCAAAAGGCAAACAAGAGGTTCTTCTAATCTAAATCTTCCTCAGTTGCAGACGATCATTAAAGCCCCACTGTCCTACTTGTAGCTACTTACTCCCTCTATAAAGAAAAATTCCCCAATCGGTGCCTGTTGGTCCCCCATGATCCTCTTTTTCTTATGTTAGTTGAGAGCTGAGTTAATGAGATAGCCACCTGTCAGTGACCTCGCTGTGTGGTCTAATCCCTTCTGGCCCAGTAGTATTGACGATCTTTAAGACATCACAATTTCACTCAGTGAGGGTGCAGAAATGTTCTTCTTGATCTTTCTCAGACCGAGATGGTTTGTATCCTCGGTAGAAGCCTCTATGAGTCGATGACGATGGAGCTTTCTCTGCCATTGCATGGTGAGAGCCTTGGCTTCCTGTGCTTCAGGGTCATGGCTCTGATCCTCATTTTCCACAGATCTTAGGCCCTGTAAGTATATAAACACAAATTTCATTAGTTCAAAGAAAAACAAAATACTGGCAATGAAATACAGCGGACCTGTCTATAAAGACCACCCAAGAGAGACAAGAACAGTGGTCTTTATAGGCAGGTGGTCTTTATGTACAGGTTCCTTTAGTACATGTTTCAATGAGAAACCATTTTCACAGGAAACAAAATATGTGGTCTTTCTATACAGGTGGTCTCTAAAACAGGTTTGACTGTATCATCAAATCCCAATATCTGTAAATTGTGGTTTTGTTGTCTAACCCCTACTTTAAAATTCTCTCATGACATTTTCACCTTATTTCTATTTTATACAATTACTTGGCAGAAGGAAAAAAAAATATATAATTGTGGCCTGACCTTGTTATCCTTTGGTATAATGAGTCCATAATCCATTCTATCACTTTCTAACGATGGAGTGTGCTGTGGTGTAAGCAACAGGGAGGCACAAAACCCCTCCAAATGACAGATAAAATATAGAGAGAGAGAGGGGGGGGGGGGGAGGAGATAGGGAGGGAGAGAGGGAAGGACATAGGGATTGAGAGAAAGGGGCAAAGGGAGAGAGAGAGAGAGGGAGGGAGAGAGAGATAGAGAGAGAGAGAGAGAGAGAGAGAGTAAAGATATGATAGGACCCCTTCCTAGATATTCCCCCGGCTTGGAGGCCTTGTTAATTCAAATTTTATTCACCTAAATGTAGATAGACTAGTCAGGAGTATATGATCAACTCAACCCAACTCCTCTATTGCTATAGCGCCCCCTTTAGGTCAATGTGTTGCCCAAATCAGCGTACCACTACACTAGAATCACAAATAAAAACGCTGATTGCCATCTGACACTCACTTTCACACAAGCAACTTCAGCAGCCTTCAATGTCCTGACTACCGCAGTCATGAGGTTCTCAGCATTCTTGACCAGGGCAGCGTTAGAGGTCAGGTCATCCGGGGTCGAGGCCTTCACGCTGGCAATGATGTCAAGCTGGGTGCTAAAGGTCGGAATGTGCTGGGCTTCGTCTCGAAGCTCCTCGGCAAACCTATATACATGAGACGTCCCAGTAAAGATAACGGTTCAATTTCTTTCTACTGTAAATTGACTTTATCATAACATAAAGGAATGATTGTTTCTTTTGATGCTTTTTCTCACTTTGATCGACTTTGGAAACAGACAACCGTCTACAGCTGTTGACTTCTGTCACACTCATACTGCCTATACAGAACATACATCATACATGTATACTACAAATGACTAGGTAGTCTTTAGATCTAGTGCATGAATGAAAGAGGGTTTGAAAAGGGTACTGTAACATACATCTTCATTTATCTACATTTATAGGTATGAAAAAGTACCAGGTAGTTGTGCAACAAGTGTACTTTCTTTCCTCGGGCAAGCATTGATCACGGAATCAAGTTAAATGTAAGAACAAACTACTTCACATTGATGATGTGAAGCACCAATGAAGCTGCCAAGTGCAGACTGTAATTTTGTGCTGCTCTCATCTTTTGCATACAAGCTATACAGTGACAGCTTAAAGGTAAAGACCAGTTCTAGTCATGCGATTGCATTGTGAAAGAAACGTTGTGGAATTGATCAGAAAAAGTTGATCATCTAGCATATAAGTATTGGTGTGTACTGCAAGGTTCTAGAATCATCAAAATGATAAGAAATTTGGCCCAGTCTTGGTAAAGTTACAAGCACTGTACACAGAAAGATGTATATTGGACTAAGCAACATGTGCGAGATATCTATCCGGTCCAGATAGATATAATAATTTACCAAATATATCAATTAGTAGACGGTTTCACCGCAAAATTTGTATCATCACGTATTAGTAAAAACATATTTTTTCACATGATTGGTAATAAATGCTTCCATTTCATTTTTGCTCAAACAGTTTGATCCTAAAGCCTTCCTTTAACTCACCTCTTATCAGTACAGTTCCTGGCAATAATGTCAGCAAACTTGGCAATCTTCAAGCCACTGGCAGCGACCGCTTTAGCTGTAGCAACCAGTTCCTCTTTATCCTGCAAATTCAAGAAAATTGCAGAGCATATTTCAAGTGCACATTAGGCTAGAAATTAAAGTCTTTATTTAAAGATGTTAACAGCTGTCAGCTGTTGAAATACCACCCATTATTCTTACATGCACGCATCATGCAAGCATTACTCTTACACTTGGATATATCATACATGTATGGGAACAATTAAACCATTGGTAACTTTTTTTGTTTCCTGAAGAAACCTGGCAACTTTTAATCTCAACGAATTGTTCACCACTCAAATTCTTGGACGGTATTTGCTTCCGAAGACACGGTATCAGCCTGATTCATTATTTTAAGTATTAAAGCCCCACTGCACTACTTATAGCTACTTGCGCCCTCTACAGTGTATATAGCAAACAATGTCTAATTGGTGCCTGTTGGTCCCCCATGATCCCCTTTTTCTTAAGTTAATTGAGAGCTGATTTGATGAGATAACCACCTGTCAGTGACCTTGCAGGGAGGTCTAATCCCCCAGGCCAAACTAGTGCAGACTAGTGCAGACAGGCTTTAAGTACAAAAATGTCAGAACTGAACATGACACGTACCTCCATGCAGCAGTGTCTGCGAGCAAACGTGGCCAGTACTTTCATCTTTTGTGACATCATCCTCGCCACCTTGATGATTTCGTTCTTGTCATCCTCCCATCGATCAGTCTCTTGTTGTAATGCCAATGCTGCTGCCTGAGACAGAGGCAAAGAAATATCATTAGGCCTAAAATAAAAACTTGTTGTATTGCCCTTTAGGTGCCAAAACATGGGTCGGTTGGTCAGAAAAGTTTTTTTTTTTGTCGCCCTCTTTGGGCCGAAATTTTACATTTTTTAATATTTGAACAAAACACATATTTTTTTTATTCATTAATATTAAAAAAATTAAAAACGTTTGAATTTTTTTTATTTTTTAAATGCCGACCGTAGATTTTCAGATCGGTCGCAGAGGGCAATACAACAAGTTTTTATTTTAGGCCTTACTTATGAATATATAGTGTAGAACTGATTTCTGTCACAGGATCCTAGCCACCTAGACGGTTACATTCTTATATGAATGATCTGAATTAACATTTTATGCCTTTTGAAATAACTTTTCCAAATTTTTTCAAAGATGCTAACGGTTTTCCATAATAGAGATAAGTTCAACTGAGCTAGGATCTCTGTGAAACACCCCACTGTACTAGTAATAATCATAACAACAAATATAGGGATACACTGGACAAAATCTTCATATCATTTCTGTGACATCATCCTGGCCACCTTAACAATTTCATTGTCATCATCCTCCCATTGATCAGTCTCTTGTAATAGGGCTAGTGCTGCTGCCTCCTCAAATAAAGACGTCATATACGAAATCTGCATATTAATAACTGTACAAATCTGTAACTCATTTCTCTATCTCTCTCTCTCTCACTTTCTCTACGTCCTATCTCTCTCTCTCTCTTTCCTTTTCTTTCTCTCTCTACCCTCATTAGAAGTCACATCATGAGCACTTCAAAGTCATGATTACTTACGGTAATCGAGTTGGAGTATTTCACCGATCCACTTTCTGACATGGCAGTACTATTTAGAGAATGAAGGCTTGATGTACTGGCAGATTTCAGCTTCAGAGATTTAGTGATTCTGTGAAAGAAACCACAACGAGAATGATGTAAGAACCGCACGACATAATTTACTGAATATAAATGACAAGATAGATGTTCACTAAAACAGACTACTGTACAGGTAGGAGTGTCGTGGCCGAGTGGTTTAAGGCGCTTGACTGGAGATGCGAAGGTCGAGGGTTCGAATCCCAACACGGCACTTGCTACTCTCCACCCAGTGTTAAATGGGTACCCGGTAGGATGCGACCGTCATTGTTGGTCAAACAGTTTTTTAATCCAATGACTGGAGTAATGGTATGACTGGAGTAATGGTGCTCAGAGACATTTGTATTAAGCGCTATATAAAAGTGGAATATTAATATTATTATTACAGTTTCACAGACCTCATAGATAATTAATTCTTATTAGAGTGTACATGGGAGTCTATTAAACCATATAGACACACAAAAAGTCTTTAGGTGTATATGTAACTCAGGTTGATGAAGAAGTCTGAAAATCGGTCTTCTGCGATGTACTGATACGCTTTTTTTGCACATTAAAGAAGGGGGAACAGAGTTTGTGTTGCTTAATAACATATTCTACTTGTACATACAATACCATCAGAAAGACTGCTACCAATATCAAAGTGCATTTAATGTAGCTACCAAAGATTCAATGATCTTTTTCTTTCTAATTTCTCTTTCTTACACACCAGAAATTGGTATTTACATTGCATGGTCTCACTCTGTAGACACTATTTAGTGACAGTATGGTATGGTCGAGGCAGGGAATAAGTTCTTCATTTTGCTCTGAATTGTACATGGGAGGAATTTCCTACTTTGAAGATAACTACTGAAATAATTGCTTTCCTTACTCATTCACTCCCAGTGTTCGACTTCTGTAGGGTCTGCAGAAATGAAACAGAAAACAAAATTATCATTAATTCCACTGATACATTTCGCTTCAAACAACAGCCGTCTGTCTGAAATTCTGTATCAACGGTTCACGTGTATCTCTTGATGTGAAATGTCAATAGACCTGTCTTTATCAGCTTGAGATTGCCACCCGCTATTTTAACTATCCCGATCGCAAATTATCTAGCTAATTTACGTCTTCATCAACCCGCAGTTGCAATTAGCGGGATATTTGGTCGAGATAATCATCCCAAGATATCTTGGGCTAGTTTGCAAATTATTCCGCTATTTTTCTGGTGCGTCATCACCAGCCCAAAGACTCTTACTATGCTGAGCAAAATATTTCGAGCTAATTTCTTGAGCTTGAGTTTCGATGTCGAGTCTCGAGCGGATGAAGACGCGATTTGTAACTTTGGGCTTATTTCCCAAATCAGAAATAACAGGCTATTTGGCAATGTTGAGCTGATGAAGACATACCTAAGGCCCCCCCCCCCAAAAAAAACAAACATGTTTAGCGTCCTGTTTTTTCGAAAAATAGGAAGGAGGAGGCCCTTTTTTTTTCTTTCAAAATGGCCGCTCGGTACATTTTTTAAATATTTTTTTAAGATAAGAAATAGATCCATTTTAGCAGTGTTTTACACATTTTTTTTTTTTTTTTTAAAAATCAAAAAAAAATCAAAGTAGGAGGCGGCCCCCAAAAATGAAGCGGGCGGGGACGCTAAAACAAGTATATTTTTTTTAATGGCCTAATGACTGATGTAAATGGTCAGCATCCTTACCCTGGTGTCCCTTCCGACTGGGGAGAAGACTTCTTGGTCGGCGATGTCTTCTGATCATCGTCAGCTCCTCTCCCACTGAGATGACTCTGATGTAGAGACCGTAATCGACCAGGTGAAAGGTCATGAGATGCAGCGACTTGTTGTCTGGATAAACATTATAAAAGCCAAATAAAAGTTTGTGAAAGGAGTTAATAAGATCAGTCCATTGGTTAATATTTTATCTGGCTGCAAGGGTAATTCTCTTTACTTTTGCACTCCATTTCTTCCGTTCTTAAATCCCCTTTCCGCGCATTTCTAGTCCTTTTCTTTGTTAAAGCCCCACTGTACTACTTATAGCCACTTGCGCCCTCTATATAGCAAACAATGCCTAATCGGTGCCTGTTGGTCCCCCATGATCCCCTTTTTCTTATGTCAATTGAGAACTGTTCTTTGCTTGACAACCTTGCAACATGTAGAATTTGAAGTTCCCTAGAAGGACAAATCGGTTATGATGTTGGCGTGTTTATACAATATCACACATACTTTGACCTTGTTCTGTGCTTTTAGGGCTGCAAACAACCCAGAGTGATGTGTTCTCCTTGCTGAATGTATTTGAAACACAGAGTAAAATTGGTCCAAAGTGCTACATGCAGGCAGGAACACAATAATGAAAACAAATGGGACGTGCAACAGTAATTCTTCCCCCAATGCAATCATATCTTGATAATCACTGCAAGTTTCACGTCAATTATCTTCATGACTTCATGTCATGTCCAGGAAAGATCACTTTTAGATGCGCATACTTATTGATACTTTTCCTAAGGTGTATTTCAAAATATCCAACTTGTATTTCGAAATATCTAACTTGTATTTGTGCAGAAATCAAACACAGGAAGAACAAAAATTCAACACTGTACCTATAGCACTGCATACATGACCCCTCACTTTCAATCTACATGTATACACACAACTTTTGATGCTCTTACAAATTATTTGAACTAGAACTACCAAGCTGGAGGCAGCCATATAATACCATTGGTCACAATTCTATACAAGAACCTTGATTGCAGTCGAGAATTGCTCTGCAAAAAGAAGATTGAGGCACAAGAATCATTTCGTTTTCGTTTGTGAGGGAATAAATCAGGGGAGTGTTTCACAAAGACTAAGATCGACTTTAAGTTGGACTTAAATATGGCAGGCCGTTCATGCCATTGTTTGCTCTCACCATATACTGGCATTGGTCTCTCAAGGGACGTACAAATCATGGTCACAAATCTAAAAAATTTACATTTTTTTGATAAATCATTATTGAAGGAAAAAATATTATCTAAAGATCATAATGGTGAGAGCGAACAGTGGCATGAATGGCTACCATAGTTAAGTCCTACTTAAAGTCGATCTTACTCTTTGTGAAACACTTCCCAGTTCTGTTGTAAACATACCACAAAATGTGTTGAACAATGCTTGGAGTATAATTCATATTTGAACTCTGCATTTTTTGCAACTTCATGGGTTTTAATACCTTAGACATCATTGTGTTGTTACCTGTTGTTTGATACAGTTTGGCATACAATAAATAATATTCCTTTAATACAGCCTGCTTCTAACATACAGCTGACATGAGATTGTCCATATCAAAACAGCAATTTGTTTTCCACAACATAAACATAGGCATATATAAACATGATATTGTAAGCTGAGAGCAAGAGACAAATCAGGAGCTGCAAAGGTGTATCCATTTCAACTCCAAAGGATCAATAGATAATGCAATCTGCAACACATTATAAAATTCCACTCAAATAATTTCATTTAGAAAACATGAGCGGTAAAGAGGTAAAAATGCGAGCATCTACTAAAAAATGATGATTGCATCATAATTTGTGACACAGTATATGGGTAATTCCATAATTTAGGGACCCACTTTGTGACATTTTTTATGTCCCTGTTACATAAGGAACCCACACATATTTGTGGCTCTGAGTAAAGACTTAAATAGTGGAGTATGATTGTTTAAGTGATTCTAGGTACGAGGATGCAATATTATGCTTGGAAATCACTTTAAAATCTCACTCTCTTATTGAAGTCTTTACTCAGAGTCACAAATACGTGTGGGTTCCTTATGTAACAGGGACATTAAAAATGTCACAAAGTGGGTACCTAATTTATGGAATAACCCATATCACTCTGCTAAACAGAAGTAGCATTTGATGAATGATTCTTCAAGCGGGGGCAAGAGGTATGTGTATTTGATGAGTGCTAAAATATCTGACCAGCATACCTTGGTGATGAAGAGGGTTCAAAAAGCCTCGGGGATACTCCAGGATGATTGGGCGTGGTCATACCAGAGGTCACATGATGATGGAAGTTGCCATGGTAATAAGGTGAAGCCGCTCCAGATGGTGTCTGGATCAACTGAAGGCCTGGAGGATTATCAGAGGAAAGGAGGACAAGGACACGAGGACATTTGTCAAACTGGTCGAGAACAAAATGAGGAATCTTCCTCAGAAGCTTTTTATACTGGATCACAAATCATCTCTGTGCCAGTCCTTAAAGTGACTCTGTAACATTGCCTCAGATTCTGAAACAAATTCATGGATTTAACTCATGCTGCAACCATAATTTTACACCTTTAGGTTAGTCAGGAATCCCATGACTTTTACAAGAAGATAACTCACTCCATTCTGTTCCTGACACTTTAATGAGGCGCATTGGCTCAGTGGTAGACCAGTGGTTTTGAACCCGGGAGGTCCAGGGTTCAAAACCAGGTTAATGAGCTAGTGTCCTTTGGTGAGGCATTAATCCTCATTAGCAGGGATGCCAACCTTTCAGAGCACAAATCAGTAATCGTAAGGCTAAAAATCCGTAATTTGGAGACAAAATCCGTAATTTTCTGCGCGACGCAAATTTTTCTGCACGCTGGCAAGCGCAGCTCGCAGGCAAGCGCGATAGCACAACAAGTTAAATAAAAGTAACATACCTGTTCATTAGTTGGTGTTACACGATGCATTTCCATTTCTTACTGTATTCTTCTTTAAAAGTCTGTAACTTCTTGCCACGCTTCTTAGTTGTGGAAGACATGATGATTGATATCTAAATCCAACCAACATGAGTTCAGATTGTCGACGAAAATCGACGAACGCTGTGACAGCCTGTGAGAAATCCGACAGTGTACACGGCGCTAGCGTAGCGAGGCCTGGCGCTGGCCCGGCGGTAGCGGCGCGGCCAAGAGAGGTATTTCACCCGGCCCCCGCTCGCGAAGCACATGTATGCACCTGCGCTGTGAAAGGGGTGTGCTAGATAACAAATTGTCCGATCGGAAGCGCTATGGGATTTCTATGCATGGATTCAAGGATGGCTGCGCTGCAATAGTCAAAAGTACCGGTACGTGCTAAACCTTAAAGTGCTAATTTTGAAATCGGCAAAATCCGGGATTTATGGTATGAAAACCGTACCGCCCGTAATTGGCCGATTTCCCGTAGAAATTACGGGAAATCCGTACTAGTTGGCATCTCTGCATTAGTCCCTCAAAGAGGACTTAAAGCTGTCAGACTCCTGGTTGCTTAATTTTACAAGCATTAACACTGTTTCTTAGCAGTCAGGTAAAACAAACAAACAAACAAATGTTACTAGCAAAGTAAAAACCAAGCAGCCTAACGGTAATGATCAAGCATAGCAGGTCCCCATTCATACATGTACATGTACCTGGGTGTTATCAATTGTCTCACTAAATACATTCGTGCCTGACTGGGATTTGAACCCTCAACCTTTCAATAATAATAATTTAAAGCCCCACTGCACTACTTATAGCTACTTGCGCCCTCTATATAGCAAACAATGCCTAATCGGTTCCTGTTGGTCCCCCATGATCCCCTTTTTCTTATGTTAATTGAGAGCTGATTTGATGAGATAACCACCTGGCAGTGACCTTCACGGAGGTCTAATCCCCCCTGGCCAAACTAGTGCAGACGGGCTTTAAGTAAACGAACCAGTGGTGTATACTCACCATGCTGGGGTAAGGACTGAAGGACTCTCCACTGCTCTGGGGTGAGCTGTGGTACGGTCAGGGGGTTAAAGGTACCCCCAAGTCCGCCTCCCACCCCTCCCCCTGGGCTGGGGTACATGATGGTCGAGGAGGCTGACGAGGGGGGCGGAGAATGATCCTGGAGCAGAGACCGGGTCATCTCTGTGAGAAGGATAGAAGTAAACAAGATTAGGATGGATGGAAGAAGAAAAGAAGGGGAAAAAGTTACCACTATCTAAATGATGATCATGAACACGACTAGTGACATTACCATGTTAAATACATCTTAAAATTGATCAAGTAACATCTTCAAGAATATTATTGACCCTGTACATGCAAATCTTTCAAATATCTGCTTTGCAAAATATTATCTTCCTCGATTATATATTTTTAAAATCCCAAGATTTCTGATTAAAAAGAAATCTTTATCTTTTGCCAAATATATCTCTCTCAATGTTAAATGTTTACAAAGATTTTCTTAAGTAATGTATTATAAATCTGAAGATATCAATGTATGTTTTTTTCATTTGATGGTTTAAAATCAAAGATTTACTATCATGCACACCAGTGAAAAAAGCACTGTGATGTTACAGAAATTTGACAATTTTAGAAGATTCTTTTTCAAATCTTAGTTAGATTGAAAATTTAAATATTACCATGACAAACAAAAATTAATTAAAGCGTATTAAGAGAAGTAACTATGAATAAAGATGTTATCTTCATTTCAAGAGAGTTAAAATGGTCTCACCTTGTTTTAAAGCATAATCGACTCCTGGAAGATTATTAAGGCCTTGGATAAGAGCCTTGGCATTACATGCCCATTCTCTCTTCTGATTCATCAGATCATCATTGGAACTCATTGAAGAATGATCTATCATAACAAGAAAGAAGAAAAGAACAATTGAAATTATCATTAGATGAATGATGCTTTCAAGTCAATGTAAAGAAGAAAATGTACATCATATAATATTAGGGGTCTAGTCATGCCCCTCTTGAAAAAAGACAAAACAGAAGAAAAAATATCTCTACCAGCATAAAAACCAGGAGGAAAACAAATTGTTTATATATAATTATATATATATAAATAATATATAATTCCAGGTGAATTAAGGCCAGGGAAATAATGTTATTTAGTGCTTGAGACTTGTTCATATTATTTTCTTATCATAATCTTAATCGTTTCAAATCCTTTAAATTTACATGTTCACTGTATGGCTTTGTTGAGAAGCAATGTAAATCTGTTGGCAGTCCATCATTAATGATGACGACATGAAAAAATCCTTCATTGTTTTCTTGCAGGGCTCCACAGTCCAATTCTGCTGGCACTTCAGAAGCCACACACTTTGAAACCATGAGATTTTCAATAGATTTAAGACGGCAGATTTCCGCGGTATGCTTGGCATCTCTCTTGCTCTCAGCAGCTTGATGGCGCTCTGTTTCTTCTGTATTGGCTGCTGGAGCAACAGGTTGCCTCCATCCTGTGCGACTACTCAAGTAAGTCAGGGGAGATCAAAAGATTTAACTCCGTTTCATTGACAATCAGCCATGCATGAAGTCTGATCGTCTATGAAACAGAGTTTAGTCTTTTGTCGATTCTGTTTGTTGCTACGGCAGGCAACCAGTGAAAACGATCTTTTAATATCAAATTATGGAAATGCAAGCATTACTTTAAACAAACAGAACTTTGCTATTCCTGGCTCATTTTGCCTGATTGAGGTGTCATAGGAAAGGGCAGAAACTGAACTTTCTAGAAATGTGATTTTCTCTTTGAATGACTTTTTGGTCCCCTCTCTTCGAATTGAATTTAATCACTCAAGCATGAAATATGCATCATATGAGTTGCATCAAATGAAAGAGGAGGATCTAAGCTTTACAAATATATGTCATTTCTAATTTTAAAAGTTATTAAGTTATGATAAAACATTGATAATTCTGTTTTTTCAGTGACGCATTGTAAAGCTTCAGCTGCCTCTCCAAGGTGTCCTGGTTATGAAGAAAGGGTACTGCAACAGATTTTTTACCTATTATCAATTCTCCGCAGAAGGTTTGCTTTGGCAGGCGCTCCTTTTTCATGCGAATGTCATGACCTGTCTAACGGATTTAGATCGCAAGATAGTATTTTATACAGTCAAACCTGCTTTAGTGACCACCTGTCTACAAAGACCACATTTTTTGTTTCCCTTGAAAATGGTTTCTCATTGAAACATGTACTAAAGGATCCTGTCTACAAAGACCACTTTTTGTGTTTCCCTTGGACGGTCGCTATAGACATGGTTGACTGTACAATGTCTAAAACAAACACACACACAAACAGATGGACAATATAATATCACCTGCTATCATCCTCAGCTTCGCAACCACCCCCGGTGTTATCCTTGACAATGCATCGGTGCTCTGCAGGATGGTGTCCTTCTCTGGTAGGTTGAAGACTCCCTGGAGTAGCACAGCACAGTCATTCTTGATCTTCGTTACTGCCTGGGTCAACCCTTCGGCCTGGGCCTGGAACTCCTCCATGATCTGCTGTCTGGATGCTCCTAAAGAGCAACACAAAAAGACACATTAATAACAATAATAAGTCGACTCAAAGCGTAGCATCCCCTCGCAGGGTACAGGCCTATATACGTCAGAACAAGTTACTTCCATTAGACTTTACTATTATATTACTAGGCAAGGAAGTTAACCACATTTTCACATATAAGTAGGTGTTTTTTGCATATTTAATGAGCTATGACCTTTCACCTTTGACCTACGTACTTCAAAATCGAACTTAGCCTGTATCTTGAAATCATGTACCTTCATATCAAATTTCATTAAAATTCATCAAACATTACTGAAGTAATCGATCGGAAACCAAATTTGTTACGGACGGACAGACGGACGCACGCACCGACGCACGGCAGCGTTACTTTATTCCCTCCGACTTTGTCAGCGAGGGGATAATTATAAACCATTCTTATATAGCGCATATCAAAAAAAAAAAAAAATGAAAGTCCCTATGCGCTCAGAAAAAAAGAAAAGAAGGAATAATAGCAGACATGAGGGAAGAGAAGAGAAAGAATAACTGCTTTGTGATAACATTGTACTAATTTAACAAGCAAACAAATGTGTCTTTCAGAGACTCTTAAAATTTTCTACTGTATCAACCTGCTTAAGATGACCAGGTAATGTATTCCATAACTCTGCAGCTGCCAGTTGAAAAGATCTCGCACCATAGTAATTTGCTGAAATTGAGGAAGGAACTACCAAAGATTTTGAACGTCTGAGAGCTTTTTCTTGCCGGGCGATATTTTGTTATCAATTGTTGTAAGTAATCAGGGCCTGTAATCCTTGCATGCACAAGAACACCGATGTCAATATCTTAAAATCAATTCATGTTTTACAATTCTTTCTTTATGGTCTGTTTGGTGATGTCTTCTGTCATTGGGAAGGTGACTGAGATATACAAGAACGTCTTGGGTTTTGATCTGAAGCTGGCTGTGTGTACCGCATGCAAAGGCCTACATAGCTGTGTCCTGCCACACGCAATTTGAAAATGCTGTCTTTTCTCCTCTTTAGTAGTTTCATCAGTGGACATTGTTGAAGAATTTTTCTGAACCCCAAACCCCACTCTTGAGACGAATTTGTTTGATTTTTAAGTGATTATTGCATATCATGTCACTTTTGTTCTTGGACGTGTCGTGTTCTCTTCCAAATACAGTTCAATCAGAAAATAAAACAAGAGTGCACAAATAATAACATCTGAGATTTGTAAGACGCCAAATCCATTTGAAATCAAATGCTCAAAGCGCACTTGTGAGAAGAGAAAAAGGAAATCACATAAAACCACCTGCATTATAAACAAAAGAGTTGGAGTAAGATGGAACATACGAAAATGAAAGAGCAATCAATAATATGCCAAATTAGATGGATACAATTATGAATAGTTCCTGTGAAAATCACATTTTAACTTTGTTTACCATTTCATTTAAAGGAACAATGTTAAATCTGAGATGCATGGCCCTACCTGTTATCAGTGTCTGTGATATGGTGTAATATTGTAGACCTAAACATAAATTACGCTTTAAAATGATCATGAAGTGCCTCAAAAAAGTTTTAAAAAATTGAGTGACCGGTTTTACCATACGCATACCCCACACTAGACTGTAGTGTTATAAAAACAGCTAGGAAAACGCAAAATTAAATTTCAATTTCCAATCATAAATATCTTGATAATCAGACAGCCGATGTGCTTGCAAAATAATTATAATTATGATCGCAGCATGAGCTAAATCCAGGATTTTATTGCAGAATCTGAGGCAATGTTACCGAGACACTTTAATAGAGCAATTAACAAAATGCAATTTCACACACGACAACCATAAGATGAAAATGTTTTCTCATTGAAACAGGTACTAAAGGAACCCGTCTACAAAGACCACTTTTGGTGTTATAGTGACCCTTGTGTGGTCACTATAGACAGGTTTGAGTGTATTAAAAAAAATTCACACAACGTTCAGCTACCTACCTTGAGCTTGTCTGGCGGCCAGAGCTGTCCCGGTCAGTCGGTCAAGCGGTATCAACATCTCAATGATTAGACCTTCTAGCATGCACTCCACTACTTGTGTCTAAGAGCAAAAAAGGGTGCAAAAGCATGAAGCTCCTCATCAAGCATTTTACAATTTATGCTAATTTCTAAGTAGAAACTGGCCGTTACACTCATTATCACATATTTGCTCTCAAATGGAATTTCAACAAAAAGCAATAATCCTGTAAACTGCTAGGTATTTGACATTTGACTTTTTCATTCATATATACAATTGTGGTATAGTTTGGTTTGTAGTTAGTTTTAATACATATAGCATTCCAAACTTGTTTGTTTATTCTATGTACCATACAGTGTTTTAATTGAAGTTTGAAAACAAACAAACTGATAACTTAATGTCGGTTAGATCACATGTAGCAAGATCTTCAGTGCAAATATGGCGTTTCTGATTTTGAATTTAACTGTTTCTTTACAAACCTTAACGATCCATTCTCTCTGTAGTAAACCAATCCTCTGGAGCCTGAAGCCATCGACTGTTGACCCCTGACCCTTCAAAGCAGTTGCCATGGAAATGGAAGATGTTGCGAGTGACGATGTACAATTCTCCATCTCCTGCAATGCCTTGTTAAGGTCCAACTCTTTAGCAGCATCGCCACAACTTTTTTTTTAATTAAAAAAAATAGTAAGCAAAATTACGATAATTTCTTCGGGATCAAAGCATAAGAGTTCCTTCAATCCATATGATTAAAATACTTTTTATCCTAAAGTATCAAGACAATTTCCATAACCATAATTGTAGCTTCATTTCTTATAAATACCTGATTAACTCATTAGCTCTGTGTTACAGGATATGAGTTAAAACTTGGGTTTAGGTTTGGGGTTAGGGTTGGGTACAGTGTTTAGTCTATGGTTGAAGTTGATAATTTGTTGAGTGTAGGATATTGACTGCAGCAAGCATGGTTAAAATACAACTTCTGCAACTTTGCAAGCAGTCTGTTCATCGGCCACACACAATGACTCTCATTCCCCCATGACTTCTGGAAACCTCTTTACAATTTTGTTTTTTTAAGTATGGCAAGGATTTGGACAAATTCTCAAGGCTGATGGGAATTTTGAGTAATTCCCTTGTTCTTCATTTTACAATTTTACAAAACTACTGTAATACCGGTAATGATGTACCTACATGTAAATAAACTCATACAAGCTGCCTATAATATTATATCTGTAAAGCACTGAGAGACAATTGAAATCGGAATATAAAAGCAGAATATTATTTATTTATTTATTTATAAAGCAGAAAGATATAATACTGACCTTGTAATTGCTTTTCTGGACTGCTCTTTCAACTTCTTACATCTCACATTGAGCCCTTTGACCTCCTGCATGACCTGATCTTCTTGCCCCGACCTGATTGCCGTCACCACGCCAACAAACTCCCTTGACCTTTGACCCAAGATGATGTCATCAAACGTGATTAAGAGCTCCTTGGTACCTACGGACCAGCTCAAGCTGAGACGCTCCAGTTTGTCTGCAAGCTCGCGATCATCTGCAGCAAAAAAAAAAAAAAAAATTGAATAGAATGAAACATGCTATTATACATGTACCTTCTACTCTAGGATATACACAAAATGTCTTACAAATCTATACATATGTGTATATCATTGTCATACAGTGTATAATGATATGAAGGAGAGAAAGAGAAAGAGAGAGAGAGAGAGCATGAAACCTACCTGGGCTTATCAAACTCTCATTGGCTAATGAGTGTAGGTCATAGGTCACCCTGGACCAATCTGAGGCCCTGCTCTGCATCTGTTGAATATGCATGGCATGAGTGGGTGTGTCTCCTCCATCTGCAGCCTGTAGAGATTCCTTCCAACCAACGGTGACACTAATCAACCTCATGACATCGGCCTTCACAGTGGTGACCTGATCAATCTATTAAAAAAAAGTCCACAAATTTATTAAGCATAAATAAATCTCAAGCTCAATAAACAAGGAGTGAAGGTCTGCATGGGGCCCATTTCAAAAAGCCTTTTTCTCAATGACAAATGACAAAAATCAGTGACAAATCTGCTGATAACCAATCAGAAGCAAGGATTTCAGTAGCTCATAACAAAAACTGTCATTTGTCACTAATGACAAGTTTTATGAAACGCCCCCCAGATGTTCAAGTTTCATTCATTTTTATTTCTTCACATGCAATTATTGAAATATAGAATATATAGAGGTGTTGAAGTCTACTGGATAAGTCTTCTAAATGTGAACCACAAATAATCTTGCATCCCATTACATTTTGGACTATTTTTGCAACATGATTTTCTCAAGCAGATAGCAATAGAAGACACTTTCAAGTATGATCCAATCTTACGCTTGGTTCATACCTGTGACTGCAAGGTAGTCATGTGACCATTCCCATCATGCATTGGTACCACACTGCCTAATTCCCCACACCAACCAATCAGCTCTCTCGCTTCTGCTGCCACCTCGGTCATGTGACTGCTCCATTTCTCTGCTCTGATCACAGCGTCTGCCTTGTCGCTGTCGTTGCCATGGAGAGATGCTTCAAAGTGGCGAATGAGGTCAGAGGTCATATCCTGGAGGTCAGTGACCCTGGCCTCGGTCGATCTGGTAAGAAGGGCAAAGTCATGGTAAATAAATTTTTGTCTTCAAATATAGACACTTAATCATGATTTATGAAAGTGATTGAAAAGATCGAATGACAAAATTGTTCTAATATAGCTAAATGACAATATAATTGGGTCTATGAACTTTTGAACTATTTTAGTTTTAGAAATTACTAACGATCTGGGTCAAGAGAGACAGCTGTAAACAACCACCATTGCCTGAAAGCATACATCGTATGCACTGGATTAATTCTTATTGTAAATACACTTCACCATGTTAGGAAGTATCTTATGGATGGCGCATGTAATCATGCAGAGCGCTCTCTTATTTTTAGCAGGCTTGATTATGGGAATTCTCTCCTGGCAAATACGAATGCTAGCGATGTGAAAAAGCTCCAGACAATCCAAAATCGAGCGGCACGTCTGTCGTTTGGTGCAGGGAAAAGAGAACGCAGTGCTCCGCCGTTGAAACAACTGCACTGGCTAATTCCCATCAAAGAACCCATTGAATATAATCTGGCACTTATGGTCAATAGATGCTTGATGAATATTGCTCTGCAGTGCCTCTCTGATCCCCAGAAAACCCTTACAATTTCTAAATATCATCCCTGTTCAAAGAAAGCTAAAACATTACTTCAAATTCCATGCACAAACACCAGGCAGTCAAATGCTCATTCTCATACGCAGGACCGGCTATCTGGAATGCTTTAACACAACATCTCCGCCTAGGCAAAATACTTTCAACAACAACAAAACTTTCAAAAGAAACTCACAACCCAATTCTTCCCGTCATAAATAAGTCAAGTTTGATCGTTTTGCTGCTATGAGATGGCGAGGTGTCAACTCTGTGATAAATGTCTCTGGTTCTCATAAGGCAAGGTGATGTACATACATGTATCTATGCTGTCGCTACCGTTATATCCCTATATTTAATAATTGTAATGAATATTATGCCCAACATTTGTACATTGATATTTACTACATTTACTGCTAAACACAATGGCCCGAATTCATAAAGGAGGTTTGTCAACAAACCTACAGGTTTATGTGCGTCATAAGATGCGTTTCAAACCAAGGTTTGTACAAACCTCCTTTGTGGATTCGAACCCATATGTACATATGATATTATTCCAAGTTAATTTCGTGTTTTTGTTGTATAAGGACTTTGATCAGTTTACTGTAATAATAATAATTATGAGAAGATGAAACAATCATCATTATTACAACTGCTTCATAAGTTAAAGGGAATGAAGCCTGACGAGACTATGTGTCTTTCTCGTGGCCTAACTCTGGGCCAATCGGGTATAATACGACTATGGACGTCCCGACCACAGCAATCATGTGCGTGAAACATATGCGAAACCGAAGCGTGAGGAGAACTTCAGTCTGTTTCATGAACGCTGAACATGTAGAGATTAAGTTGCTACTAACTTCCGTTAATCAAGTCCATTCGTTTACGTGCAGTTGTCCAAAAGAAGACGTAGATGGCGTTAAGCAGTATTTGCCGAGCTACACTCCCTTTAAAACAAGAATGTGTTCTAAAAACAAAACTAACCTGACTTTTTGGTTGTCCAGTTTCAGGCTGTGCATCCTTGTCATCAAACGACGGTATTGGTTCATTTTCTCCATCGTGTATCGACACAACAAGGCTACCTGATCTCGTTGCCTTGTGAACAGCGCCCTCATAAGCTCATTCATTGGATAGGCCATCTCCAACCTCTGTATCATATCTGATGAAGTGGAATGAATATATGAGTTCCCATACGTAGTATCATAATATTGTTTCATTTTATGCTGTAACTAATTCTGTAATTCTGTAACTAAGGCTGTAATTTCCATTTGCAGACTTGTGTAAACTCCATGATACTTTGTGAGTGTTTAAATTATATCCTTCAAATTTCATGTGTGAAATTTTACGACCATCAGTTCTGAAACCTCTTTGTAAGAAATGAAAACCTAGCCTTTTTTTCATACTGCTGTAGAGCAAGTCTAGGAAATAAATATCTGGAAGTAAACATTCAAATTTTATTTGTTGGAAGCCAGTTTCCATTTTTTGTATTTGGTAGGAGGGTTCCTAATAATAGACTTCTTCAATATACCACATGATTAACGGAACTTTAAGTTTTTAGGTCTGCAAAAGGAACAGACCATCTTTAAATCTATTTGAACCAAGTCAGAGTAGTCATGACTGATCTTAAGTTTAACAAACCTTTCGTAATCTTCCTAGCTGGTAGTGGGTGATCCTCGGTGAGAATCCCATTGCCCATTCCAGCAGCATCTCTGCGTTTTGGCCGAACGAATGGCGCCCCATGTGGAGTAGACACCGCATCCGAGGGCAGGAGAAAAGACGGAGTGGAATCCAAGAGAGACAGATACCTGACTGACTTGCTCGAGTAATCTTCCGGGGAGTGGTCTTTGGAATGTTGCCTGGACTTGGGTGTCAGCGGGAGTCTTTGAGCAGGAGATTCACTAGGAAGACCTTTAAGAAAGTCTTGAAGTGTGATAGATAAGAGGCGTGGTTGAGAAAGGCTTCTGAGATATTTGGAGTTGCACTTGAAATAGGAAATAGGAAACCTTGAAATAGGAAAATAGTATACAAACAATACACAGCAGTGATGGCATTAGTAAGAAGTACCCACACAAGGTACCTTTGGAACAGTCTAACACGCCTGAGGCGATAGCCGAGTGTGTTTGGACTGTTTTGAAGGTACCGAGTGTGGGTAATTTTACTACTTCCCGAACAAAATGATGAGTTTTATTTGTTTTATAAGATTATGTTTTATTTGTTTTTATAAAATGATGTTTTATAACATGATTTTGATAATGACCTGTCATTAGGATTTGATAATGACCGGTTATTATCCAAATTAAGTGTTAGGCAAAATTAATGCCTGGTCACATGTATGCTCTCAACCAATCATTTGATTAGGATCTACGTCATCATCTTATAATAATAAATAACATACAGTAACATCTCCATACATGGTAGCCTTCAATCATAGGAAATGAATGCACTCACACACAATGAAAGCAACCCCTGAAAACCATTCATCCCAAACTTGGACAACCATGATTTTGGCATGCTTTTAAAAAATGGCCAGTATTTAGTCAACATGTTTTCAGATTCTTTTTTTTTTATACGATTTACTTTTCGGTTGCATTGTCACTGAATTTACATTTTTTTAAACATATAAAAATTACAATCAGAGGGAACAAAAACAGATCCAAGTAAAATACAATAACAGGAAAAAATTATACAAAAATTGCAAATTTAGAATGACAAGAAAAATTAATCTGGAAATATTTTGTTGAGGAACCTATTAAAAAAAGGAGACATCATCAAAATATAATACAGTGTACCATTATCATATTCCAGCAATTTTACTTGGTTTTTTAAGATATTGTTTCCTTTTTATTGACTTGCAATGTTTATAATAATGATTACTTACAACATGTACAAAGAATGCACTTAAATATTCAGGACTTCAGGGGTGATAGTGAGCACTAACAAAAAATAGTTTGTCTTTTTCCTCAACCACTCTCACCCCCCACCCCCCCCCCCCCTCCCCTTGAGTAAAAAAAAAAAAAGATTTGGGGGGGGGGGGGGGAGTGGGAATGGCATCTAACAAATTCCCCCCCCCCCCTTCTGAGCAAGAAAATTGGGAAAATAAGGGTAAAAAAAGGGAAAATCTGATAAAATCGGGAGAAAAAAAAAGGGGGAACCGATTTAAATTGTGTAATTGTCAGTAAGCTTAATTGTCAGACCTGGGACTAACCTAACGAGTCTTGATTTGCTGTAGCCTGGTGACCCCTGACCCCTCCTCTAAGCGGACTGAGAATGTCTGGGTGGTTAGAGGCGTCTAACCCAGAGCACAAGTTGTGCACGCACTGCATGAGATGGTAGTTGTGTTCCGACAGGGCCGCCATCGCTCTCTTGTTCTGGATGTTACCCACCGAGTAATGGCCACCATTCTTGACTAGAGGGAGGGCTGATGATTCGGGGAGGAAAACAAATGAGGGAAAATAAACACAAATGAGAAGGGGCATGACAGGAACTTGAAAAGATTAGGGCTAGTAAAACGCAATGTACAGAACTGCCTCCGTTATGTGCCCTCGCCTCTTATTATCAAATATTGGGTCAATTAATTGTTTTTGCTGAAGCCCATTTACCATGACTATAAAGAACAAACAGTATTTAAACACTTGTCTTTGAGTACACATGATATACAATGATTACAGCAAATTTAAAAGTTATGGAAGTGGATTTTGAAATATAGAAAAAGAGAGAGAGAGTGAGGAGAGAGAGAGGGAGGGAGGGAGAGAGAGAGAGAGAGAGAGAGAGAGAGAGGGAGAGAGAAAGAGAAAGGGGGGAGTGAAATCCTTAATCATAAATACAGATATTTGTTTCACCCTGATTTCTCCGTTTGACTTTTTTTCTCTTATTACTGAGGTTTATTGGCATTATAATCAGCCTTATTTGTACCTTCTACAATTCCACCACTCCTATCACAATGATTTTGTAAAGTTCCAATATCTTTAGAGTGGAAATAAATAAATTTGATTTGCTATCATCTATACAAAAATAGTCTTAGAAATACATTTACATGTACCAGCAATATGAAATATTTTGTTTTAAGCACTTCAGAAATGTCATTATAATCACATGAATATCATTATTATCAATCATTGTTGGGCTTTTATAGTCAGTAACTCCATCTACTACCTCGTCAATTTTTTTTGAAGAAGACGATTTAACAAAAAGACAGAAACAACTTTCTTGCACCTACCATTCTCTAGCTGTGAGATAAAGACCTGAAGACCATTTCTATATACCGCATCCTCATTTTGGTCCTGGTGTTGCTTAGCAACCTGTAGCACCCTCTTGCACCGTCCGAGAATATTACTAACTGCCTCGGACAGGAGTTCCGCATCACTGATGAGACCAGCTTGGCGACACTCCTCAACGTCCTTTTCGAGGCAGGATTCTAATGCATTAAGGTAGATATTACACATAAAAATGGCTCAATTCTTCTAAAGTCAATGTATAATTGTCATTCAGACAAGTTGATATCATTAAAACAGTATGTCTTTTTAAAATGAACAAGTCAACGCAAAGCGTAGCATCCCCTCGCAGGGTACAAATGGCCTATATACACTGTACGTCAGAACAAGTTACCTCCATTGGCCTATACTTTTATATTACTAGGCAAGGAAGTTAACCACATTTTCACATAATTATATAATTAGGTGTTTTTGCATATTTAATGAGCTACATGTATAACCTTTCACCTTTGACCTATATACTAAGAAATCAAACTTAGGCTGTACATGTATTTTGATACCATGTACCTTCATTTAAAATTTCATTAAAACAATTTTTTTTTTAATATTGCTGTTATTATAAACGCTCAAAATATATAATGTCTACCTAATAAGATTGATAGACAATACTGGATAGTTGAGTACATACAATAAGCGATAAAAGGATAAAGGATACAAATATCAGCAAAATTTGGAGTCTGTTATGTATGACTACTTACACAAGATTGCAAATAATCCACCACACTGCCAAAATAATAAGTAGTGATTGCCCGAACATTTTTTTTTTTTTTTTTTGGGGGGTGGGATGGGGGGGGGGGGGGGGGATGGGGGTCTGCAGCCCATTCAGATGCACCTCCCTCCTCACACCTTTACCTTCTACTCTAGGGCATACGTCTAAGAAGCAGAATTACATCTCACCCGATACTTCAAGGAATCTTCTGGCTTCGATCAGGGCGTCGACGATGTCCACCAACTGGTGCACGCCGCTGTGCCACTCCCGTCTGACCAACTTGAGATGCTCTACGGCTCCTTTATTGGTTAGATCTCTACGCACTGCAAGGCATGATGGGAAGACATCGGCATCCAACTGCTCCATATTGCTGACGAGAGTAAGGATTTCCTGTCCCTCTGCATTTAGGTAAGAGATGCACAATTTCTGGTTTATTTAGGGCATATGTTCAGAGTAGTAGCACTGTAAAAATTAACAAATCATCTGCTAGAAGTGCTAGCTGAACTTACAATTCTCTTGAAAAAAACACAACTCTAGTACCTACTCAAGTCTCTACTTTTAGAAAGGCTATATTCTCAATAAATGTTTAAACAGAATTCATGTACTCTGAATCAGAATGTTTTCAATAATTCAACAAAGTTTTGAAGAAAAATGGCCTATATCTTATAAAAGTCCACCAGAATTCTACAGCTCACAGTCCATGCAGCCAAAAATATTGTAGATTTACATCATTACTTTTTACAGAGTAGAAAGCATTTTGATTTTCCAATGCTTATGCACTTTTTGGACTTAACCCAATTTGAGTTTTTAGAAACATTCATGCATAGGATTAAAAACAGTAAAATAATTTTGTTGTGCACTTTGCTCCTTCAGCTTTCGTTTATTTTGTCTGGTTTTGGCTTTCTGTTCATTCTTGCGATTTACTCTGATGAGCGCAAGACAAAAAGCTGTAGTACCTGTACGTCTATATTTCTTGCTATTCTTAGACAAACAAATGATCCACATGTATTATCAATTTATGCTATATGTATACAGCTATCATTTTATGAAAATTTAAACTCACGATTGCTGTCCACACAGCTGGCTGCCACAAAGCTAGCCATCTGAAGTAGTCCGTCTGCATGATCATGAAAGGCATCATCCAAAGGCTGGAGTAGCTTGGTACAGATGTCCTCTCTCAATGGACCTTTCTCCTGAATAAAATACAAGGTTGACTCTGGTAAAATATTGGTTAAATCAGGATAATATTAGTTAATTCTGCTTCCTATCCATTAGTTCTGGTGAATTATGTTTAATGTAATGTCATGCACGCAATATGATGGAAATCATATAACCTGGGCAAAGGCATGGAGAAATCAAGTTTTGGGGGATAAAAAGAGAAATTAATGGGATTTAACTATATAAAGCAATTGATGAATAGTGAGGACATGACGTCACAAACTGAAAAACAAATTGGCAATTTGTGTAGTGATTTCCATTGTTCTATAGTTTTACAAACTTTTTCAAAAAATCATAACTTTCTTATTAGATATCCGATTTTGCTCAAACTTTTTTTGATTGGTTTGTCTGATTTTTCTGCTTCTATTGAAAGCAAGTTATTTTTGGAGTGGACTTGTCCTATAACATCAGGATAATTTAACATTGACAGGTAAAAGTGTCAATGCAATGACAGCACTGAAATGGGATAAATGAAACGGGACTGAAATTTTGTTTCCAATGTCAGACATTCCTATTCACCTTTAACCTCACTGTGGACGTCTTCACCAGCCGATCCAGCGGCTCCGTCGTCTCCGTGAAGGCATCTACCACCTGATGAACAAGGGCGCCCTTCGCTAAACTCTCCAGGGTCAAGAGGTCATGGGCTAATCGCTCGCAAGACTCCTTGAAGTCTGAGTTGAGCTGGCTGTACGAGGGGTTATCTTGTAATGCTTCAAGGTCCTTCATCACATCTGATCTGAGTTGTAATATCTACAATCCAATAAAAATTCAAAAATGATGACCAAAGATAGATTTTACTTCTCTTTAGTACGGTATGTTAAATAAATCTAGTCATCTGATTGGTTGCAATTGGAGTCATCATTTTAGCCATGCCCGCCTACCGGTCAATAGTTTTTTAAAAGATGCCCATTGCCCCAATATATCGACTGCTTTAATATTCAAAGCATAGCCGTTTCTATACTTTCGCCTCAGGGTCATATCAGGATGTAACCTCCCCTTGAGCCTATATAGAAACAGCGATGCCTCTCATAGCAGATAATATAATATAAATTATCTTTTGCAAAGGATATAATGTCCTTGAACCTACAGATAAGTTACAGGAAGGTAGGGGTGTGATTTGAGATGGTAATTGAGGTGCTACATCTAGTGTACAACGTTTAAAAGAAAGTGATACAAGGAGGCCGATTGATATACATGTAGGTCTGTAAAAACCCAATTACAGAACCACACACACAAACATGATCTATCTAGTATGGATAAGCCAGAAGGCCCTGTTCACATAGACCCTCTATGATAGGCAGCAATCTTCTAAATACATCTAACCCATGGCATTGGCCCTTCACCCTGTTCATACTTTCGATCTTGACCATCATCCTCACCTGTTTGCAAACAGAGACTATTTCATCTCTGATATCTTCTCGAGAAGAAGCAGCGATGCTCATGCCGTGTCTGACGGTCTGCTCCAAGACATCATCAAAACCTTTGTCTAGTTTGAATCTCATGTTGGGTGACAGCAGCTCCACTAACTATAAAGAAATTAATAACAATAATATCAACAACAACAATAATAACAACAACAACAACAATAATAATAACAATAACAAAATACATTAACAAAATAATAATATGTCTTGTTCACCCAGGGTAGCCTCATCAGTGTTCATACTGTTCTCCCTGAGGGCCCTGCAATCATATTACTACCCCGGTTTTAGTATGAAAACAGTTACTAAGAAAATATTGCTCTGTATCAATACTTCTAATGGGAATGATGAAAAAAGAACAATAATTGCTGCGCTGTTGCAATCACTAACATTAAACTAAACTTTAAGTTTAACTTATGTGCAGATAGTGATTTCACAACATTTCTTCTGTATAGCACTAAAACTTGATCGAAACCATATTTGTGAAATGGGTATCACAAAGATGTATACATGTACTGGTTTAAGGATTTGGATTTGACATTGACAGGAAACTTGGCCGCTTCTTAAATCAGGAAATTTGGAAATGATAATCAAAAGATCAAAGTAAAAAGAATTTGATTGAAAACACATTAAGAGAAGCTAATTCTACTGAGGTAGCTCAGAAAACAAAATTATCCCTAATACATTGACCAGACCTAATAAAGAATAGCAACATGTTTGGGATCTTCTCCAAACAATTCAATACCTTTTCCATGTTATGAGCGAAGTGGCCCGGTCTCTCATGAGTAACTGTGTTCTGCCCTCTGCTGGAAGCCTGTGTTAAAGCTTCTGTGATCTGCCTCACACACTCCCCAACCTGTTTGCATGAGTAGTCTCGACTCGCCTGGTATCAACAGAAAACCGATTAATTCCATTCAATTCAACTCAAATTAGGTTTTATTAAATCTCGTCAAAAAGTCCAAAGACTAAAAATGCAAGTTTTCATCAAACATACAATCATATAAAAAAGCATTCAAAAACATATACCCGGTATATATATATATATATATATATATAAAGAAAAACATAGCAAATGGGAAAAAAATATATCAAATAAATAAATAAATGTTTACATCACTACATCAAAGCAGTGACAAACAAAAACCAAAAAAAGATACAAAGCATACAAAATATATTTAACAATGTAATGTCAAACTGACAAAACTAATTTCAATCTTCATTCATACATGATCCATGATTTTGATCTAGTGTATTCTTCTAACTGTTACTGACTGTGTCTCTTTGTAAATACAATTCAACTAGTGCTCATACACGTTTTCTTAAATTCAAATAAGAAATCAAATAATATAATCTTTGCGTAATAATACCTACAGTACGGTATTGGGATAAGTCCTTCTCTGCAAAGTTTCCAGAAATCCATAGTGTATTAAATAGCAGTTTAGATAATTGCACATTAAAGAACATTTTTATTCACTCTCCTTTACTAATAAGAGAATAATCTCAATAGTAATTTGAATCAAATCATCTTGCAGGCACAACTATAATAAAGTTATTTTCTTCATTGGAAAGCTGTAATCTGAAATGAATGATTAAAGCACAGATCAAACAGCCAATCAAAATAGACCATCACGGAGGTGCACACCATTTTATTCCTTGTCTGTTTGATCTTGATCTTATGTGTTTGATCTCATTTTTATTTTTATCATCATATATGCATGATTTATTGAATAAAGAACAGATTTATATTTGTTTATTATAAGTTTTGGTCAGTAAATTTTAATCAGACAATGGTGCGCTAAGAAACACCCGTGTTAAGCGCCTAATAAATGTTGTGTATTATTATTATTATTATCATCATACCTTTGCCTGTACATTGGTTGGGTACTTGACGTAGCTTTGCATTGAAGAGTTGAGGAGAGGCATCGCCCTCTTGAGTCCCGACAGAGCGGAGAGTATCCTTTCTTTCTTTTGAGGGTCGTTGAGATCCTGCTGCCTTTTGTCACACAGATCACATAGCGTGAGAACAGACTCTGTGAAGTCCTAGAGAGAAAAAGAGCATAAAATATGAAAAAATGTGACGTAGATTCTGAATATAGCTTCATTATGGCTTAAGTACAAATACAATGAACACTTTTTAATCAGCTGTAACAGAGTAAATGATAAATGTAAGTTTCAACATAGTTTAAGTGTAAATATAATTTCACTCTACATCTTCACAATGTTTATTCATCCTGTTACTAAGTATTGGAATTTTTTAAGTATGCGAAAAATGTAATTGTCCGATGTATGTTTCTTGAGTATGTGACATATAAAAGCTTACATCTAAAAGGATTCACTAAGGGCTCCCCTTAATTTTTTTAATCATGGTATAATAACAAAAATTATGATTAGCAGCCAATAGCTGCGTCGTTCACATTTTACAACCAAGTTATAAACTAGATGGAATTCGACTGCGCGCAGTCGAAAATGATGCCTCCGTCATAGAGCAATTTTACAAACCGAAACGGAAGAAAGTTTTCAAATTCAAGTTCAATTGTTATCCATTAACATGTTCTCAGAATATCGTGATTACAAGCAATTTCTCATATACATATATGACCCTTTGATCTTTGACCTCATGACCCTAAAATCTACTCAGTTCATTGGCTCTGCAAGATTTCCTGGGTTAAATAGTAATCCATCTGTCAGTTCTAATGAGAATGCATCCACAAGCTATTTTTGCATACATAATGAGCCCATGACCTTTGATCTTATGAACCATTCATTGGCTCTGCAAGATACATAAATGATCTAAGTTTGGCAGGAATCCATCAATCTGTTCTAATGATAATACGATCACAAGCTATTTTTGCATACATAATGAGCCGCATGACCTTGACCTTTACCTCATGACCCCAAAATCTAATCAGTTCATCAGCTCTGCAAGTAACATACATGACCTAAGTTTGGCAGGAATCCATCAATCGGTTCTTGAGATAAGGCGATCACGAGCTGTTTTTGCATACACAATGTGCGCTGTGACCTTTGACCTCGTGACCCCAAATCTAATCAGTTCATTGGCTTTGCAAGATACATACATGACCAAAGTTTGGCAGGAATCCATCAATCGGTTGTTCAGATAACGCGATCACAAGCTGTTTTTGCATACATAATGAGCCCTGTGACCTTTGACTTCGTGACCCCAAAATCTAATCAGTTCATCAGCTCTGCAAGATACATACATGACCAAAGTTTGGCAGGAATCCATCAATCGGTTGTTCAGATAACGCGATCACAAGCTGTTTTTGCATACATAATGAGCCCTGTGACCTTTAACCTTTGACCTCGTGACCCAAAATGTAATCAGATTGTTTTCCTATAGTGATACACACTATCACTAAGTTTGAAGTTTAAATCTCCAGCGGTTCTTGAGATATCATGATAACAATCTCAATGTATGGAATTTCATAAGTTGACCTCTGTGACCCTTGACCTTTGACATACGTGCTCCAAAATCTAATCAGATCGTCTTCCTATGGTGATACATACTATCCTTAAGTTTGAAGTTTAAATCTCGAATGGTTCTTGAGATATCGCGCTAACAAACTCAATACAAGGAATTTCATAAGTTGACCTCTGTGACCTGTGACCTTTGACCTATGTACTCCAAAATCTAATCAGATCGTCTTCCTATGGTGTTAAATACTATTCCCGAGTCTTAAGTTTAAATCTTAAATGGTTCCTGAGATATTGTGATAACGGTCAAACGGGACGGACGGACGGACGGACGTACGGACGGACGGACGTACGGACGGACAACCCGAAAACATGATGCCTCCGGCACCACCTTCGGTGGCGGAGGCATAAAAAGAAAAGAAAATACGATGTTAAAAATATACCAATGCCAGATGATACTCAGGGTACATAGACCACTGTGGTTCAAATAATTGAAGAAAAATAAAAACAGAACAAACATCATAAATCACAAAAACATGATTGATGGGGAGAAGTAATTATATTTGTAATCAACATACCTTGAATGTAGTCACTAATTCCTTCATGGAGCCTACAGCTCTCATGTTCTGTAGTCCCTCTGTCACCCAATCACAGGTATCTAGGATCCGATGAACCTCTGCATCATCAGAAATAAGAAGGACCTAAAACAAAGGATATATTCAGTTTATGAAATATCTTCTCATGAAAAAAGCCCATGTCAGAATGTATGCAATTAGGGGACCTACACAATAAATCCTATTCTAGAGACTATATTTACATAATCAGGTGTACATTCATGGTAGTCTCTAGCAGTCTCCTTGCTGCAGTCACTATACTGTCTCTATCTTGGTCAGAAAGAGGTTTAGCACAAGTATGAAACCTACATACTTAGTCCTAAGCTAGGGACTACCTCTACATGTACATACCTTCATGGTAGTCTCTAGCAATCTCCTTGCTGCGGTAACCATGTTGTCTCTCGCTGGCTCCGAGAGGGGTTCAGCCTGAAGACGCTGTACTGCCATCAACATGCTTCGACCAGCAGCTATGCTTGCATCACATACCTCTGGCATTTCTCTCTGTAGTTTCTGCAAAGCAAAGCCATAATTGGTTGTGCTAATTAGGTTATTTAATTTTCCATGGATCATTCTTCAACTGTGAAGAATTTGAACTAGTGTTAGATGATCAAGCAAACCAGCTTGGATAATCCCCCAAGTTATGAGTTTAAATATTGTAATCCACCTGTCTCAGGATATTTTTTTTTCAAACAAATACTTTCTTAAAATCCAAAATTCTCTCTGCCAGCAGATATGCATTTTATAGAACATGCACATTTTTATTATGATTATATTAAGGCTGAATGACAACTTCAGTTCAATCAAAATACACAGTATATCTGGAAAATTTAAGACATATCATTTTCTTTTCTTATAGAAGAGGAAAAATTAAATTTGTATTTCTTTTTCCATGTCTAGGCAGAGCTTTGAATTGCTTCATATAACTTTCTTTTCAGTGTTCAAAATAAACTATAAATCTGTGATACACTGAAATTTGGACTGTACAACATTTTGTAGTTACAAATAATGGATTTAAATATATAAGTACCTCATCATCTGTATCTCTTGCCATTTTGTGACCAACCTGCACAAGTTCTTCTGTAGCTCTCAGGACAGTCTGGGCAAATGGAATAAGATTGGGCAACTTGCCCCCCTCCCTCTCTGCTGTCTCATTCAGGATGATAAGCTGAGATACCTACAAGTAGATGTTTATAAACCAAAATGAAACGTTTCTCTAGATTTCCTATATTAAAAATAGAAAAATGTATAAATAGTACCACCACACACCTTATTGAAGGAATATGACTGCACCTTTAAAGATATTCTTTTTCTTCTTGTTATTCTTCAAAGGGCTATGCAGCCTATCACAAAGATCTTTCTTTGCGAGAAGTGTTATTAACATGCATAGGGTTTGACTCTCCTATGCGTAGGCCTCTACTTAATGTTGTAGTCCAAAAAAGCGGAGCATTTCCCCTGAACCCGAGCTTGTATCGAAAACAGAGGGGATAAGACATGAAATTTAAGAAAATCTGTTTTCTTTCTAATAAAGGTCCAGAATGATTACACAATATCGAGTGTAAGGGGTATTTTAAGCAATTTTGGTTGAAGAAAAGTCTAAGACGGGTCACGATATACATTAGCTTATGTATAATGGAACATTTTCTGCATCTGGCAGGCTTGAAATATTACTCTAGTTTTTAGATTAGTTGTATTGCAACTTGCAAGTTGGTACTTTCATGACAAAGCACCTTTATTACTACCAGTCATTACTAGACTCTATCTTGCTCAATCTATAATGTGGGGTTGTTTAGCTGTATGGTTAGTACTCAAATGAAGACACATAGAGAAACATCAGAGTGAAGTTGCAATCCAGCATGACTGGTTATATTGTGTATAGAAGAGCCCATACACCACAGTGTACATTAACTGTGTGTATGTGTGTATAGCATGTAGCATTGAGTCAATGTATAAGATCACATATTACATCCCCCTTACAGAAAAATAAACTGAGTCCATAATGTCCAAACTTGAAGTATCCAAAGATGAAGTCCTATCAATAAGTCAGTTTTTCTGGCTTCTTGATTACCCGGCCACTGCGGGTGGTCTGCTGGTGGTTGGGGATTGGGACAGGGTTTGGGGCAGGGGTTGGGGCAGGAGAACCTCTGATGTCGGGCGTTGGATCAAGCGTCATCTCTTCGCGTGTATGAGGATCGGGTGTCTTGGTTACCTCCTCATCATGATGGATACGCCTGGGCTCAATATCAGCGAGGTGTTGCCGGTTTCTGCGTAGCACCCTTCCATTAGGCGTCTCGACGAGATATGACCTAGGCTCATGGCATTGCTCACGAACAGTAGCTGTTATCCAGTGACGTGATGTCTGGTCTTGGACTCTCACAAGCTGCCCAGGTGAGAGTGGTGCTAGGTCATGGGCTGATTTGTCGTGATGATACTTCTGGCTCTGCTGTCGAAGCTGCATACGATGGTTAACATCATCACGACCAGGGGAGTTGTTGCGGATTCGAGTTGGTAAGTTGTCCTTCATCTTCCTCCCGTAAAGAAGCTCAGCTGGGCTTGGAATGCGGCTGTCAATTGGAGTGGCACGGATACATAGTAGAGCCATGTTGGGGTCGATACCACTCACTTTAGCTTTCTTGAGCGTATTCTTGACAGTTTGAATCATTCGCTCAATGAAGCCATTTGACCTGGGGTAGTGGGGAGAGGATGTAACATGGCTGAATCCCCACTGTGTAGCAAAGTCTCTGTATGTTGAGGAGTCAAAATGTCTTCCGTTGTCGCTAACGATTCTTTCTGGAACTCCTTGTTCTGCGAACACCTGACGGGTCGCATTGACTACTGCAGCACTGGTACACTCTTGAGGCATTTTCCGGATGAAAGGGAACTTTGAGAAGTAATCTGCAATGATGAGATAATTGTTCCCTTCAAAGTGAAATAAGTCTGTACCTAAGACTTGCCAGGATCGTGTGGGTATCTCGTGCTGGAGAAGAGTCTCATGGGGCTGCGAGGGCTTGTACTCTTGGCAGACTGAGCAGCCTTTCACCAGGACCTCGATATCGTCATTGATTGATTCCCAGTACACAGAAGCCTTAGCCCGAAGTCGTGTCTTCTCGATACCTTGATGACCTTCGTGGAGCTTGCTCAGTATGTACTCCCTCATGGAGTGTGGAATAAGGATTCGTTCACCATTCAGGATCAGTCCATCCTCAACTGCAAGTTGATCTCGAAAGGCCCAGTATCTCTGCAGCTGCCGTGGTAGCTCACGTCTCTTCTCTGGCCACCCTTTCACAATCACCGTCTGTAGTGCTGCAAACTCTGCATTCTTGGCTGTTTCCTCCTTCAACTGACTCAAACGGTCTGGAGCAAACTGTACAAAGTTGATTTGCAGGTCAAGGTGGATGTGTTCTGGAGGACCAAGAGGACGTCTGGATAGGCAGTCAGCTACTGGTACATCCTTACCAGGCTTGTAGACAATTGTCAGCTTGTATGGCTGTAGACGAAGGAGCATACGCTGGAGTCTAGGTGGAGCCGCTGCCAGGTGCTTATGCTGGATCATCTCCAGGGGCTTGTGGTCCGTCTCAACTATGAAACTTTTCCCGTACAGGAAGATGTGGAATCGTTCACAGCCGAAGACCACTGCAAGCAGCTCTCGCTCTATGTTGGCGTACCTCGTCTCTGCATCACTGAGGGCCTTTGATGCAAATGCGATACCCTTTCCATCCTGCAGTAGAGTCGCTCCCAAGCCCTGCAGAGAAGCATCTACCTGCAGTACCGTAGGCTTGTTAACATCGAAATACGCCCGAGTTGCATCGTGACATACCTTGTCACGTAAATCATTGAAGGCAGACTGGTGCGTTGGAGTCCATTGGAATTCAGCGTCCTGCTTCAAAAGACCACGTAGGCTTGCAGTCTGGGCTGAAAGATTTGGTATGAATGGGCTAAGGTAGGTTATCATACCAAGGAACTCACGAAGCTGGCTCTTGTTCTCAGGTGGAGACATTGACTTGATTGCCTCGACCTTGTGAGGATCCGGATGGACGCCATCTGCATCGTAGATCATACCGAAGAAGGAAATCTGGTTGACCTTGATGCTGCACTTGCCACTGTTGAACTGCAGACCATACTTCACAGCTTTGGACATGAGGTGGTGCAGATTCTGATCGTGCTCTGCTTCACTCTTGCCGAACACAACAATATCGTCAGCGATCCCTATTGTGCCGGGGCAACCTTCGAGGATTTCGTCCATTCGCTGCTGGAATACATCCTGAGACATTGCTAGACCAAAAGGCATCCTGAGATATCTGTACCGTCCAAAGGGACTGTTGAAGGTAGTCAGAAGTGAACTGTCATGGTCGAGCTTGATAGACCAATAACCGTTCTTGGCATCGAGTTTGCTGAAGTGTCGAGCACCTGATAGCTTGTGTATCACCTCATCTGTCGTGATAGTGCGATAATGGCAACGTCGAATAGCTCGGTTGAGATCCTTGGGATCCAAGCAGACACGGAGTTTGCCATTCGACTTCCTTGAAACAGCGATGCTGCTGACCCATGCTGAAGGCTCAATGACTTTAGTGATCACGCCATTACCTTCCATGTCATCAAACTCACGCTTCAGTTCATCTCGTAGGTGGATTGGGCACCGTCTAGGAGCATGGACAACAGGCTGAACGTCTGGATCAAGAACAATACGATATTCTCCTGGGAAGTTGCCAATTTTGTCAAACTGGTCTGGATACTGCCTTACTAGGTCATCAGTAGAGCTTATCTGTGCTGAATGCTTGATCTCGTTGATGCGTGTGTGTAGAGTAAGCAGCTTCAGTTTCAAGCCTGTGTCACATCCGATAATCGCTGGACCCCTGGACTCAACGATGTAGAATGTAGCATAAAGCCAAGCGTCAGTGCTGTTGGTCTAAAAAATAGCAGCTTTTCAATCGTGCCTATCCAAAACTTTTAAAATTCATTCCTAGCACATACAGAAATAGAATGTGACATCCTTCATTTTTCTGTAACTGAATGAATAATGCTCAGGTCAGGGCAGTTTTGTGCATCCCCCCCCCCCTTTTTTTTTAACATTCACCTGCCATTCATTTAACATGCAAAATATCTCCATTTTAAAACAGCATTTCTTTCTTCTTCTGGAGATCAGCAGCTACCATTTTGAATTCATGAGATTAAATCAAGTTTAAAATAAACATAAAAATCATAATTCCATACCCAACTCAAGATTAAACTTCTACAAAATGAGAGATTATCACACAGGCATACACCCTCTCAGCTCAGTCACACACCGGACAAACATTCACTATCAAACTGGGCCTGGGCAGCGTTTCACTAAACCGTCATTAGACATGTACAGTACAAGTGAACTGACAACTTGTTGAAATGCATGTATTAAATTCAACACATGTTTTAATGGGATATTGGTTAATTTTCACTTTGTAATGAAACTATGCCCCGGCCCTGAAGCCCGAGTAGGCCTAGATCTAGACCGAATTTTCCGTCTCTTTCGTTCGTTAGCCTCTTATTGGGGTAGGGTCGGCTCTCTCTTTAGAGACGGAAACCGTCTATACACATTCCCTTGATAACGCCACGGCCATTTCAGGTCGTAGGGTTTTGCCCCCAAAATCCCCCAAAATGTCATTTTACCTCATGCATTGATTATTTAAAATAAGGAGAAGGTTATACTACATCGGTTCCACTTACTGTGCGCCATCTACACGTTCGTAATGGCGTTATCACAGTTTTTCCTTCATAATCGTTTTGCCTTCGGCGTAGACTAGAAGGGATGAGATTGATTTAGATCTAGATGACTCCGTGCGCAGCGAGAGTTTAACACGGCTTGCAAGATTTCAACATGGATGTCGATTTTGACCCATAATTTCCTTAAAAGGGACCATTAAACGGATTATTTCAGTCAAGTTGGTAAGTGGAACCGATGTAGTATAACTTTCTCCTATTTTTTAAATAATCAATGCATGTGGTAAAATGACATTTTGGGGGCAAAACGCTACGACCTGAAATGGCCGTGGCGTTATCAAGGGAATGTGTATAGACTGTTTCCGTCTCTAAAGAGAGAGCCGACCCTACCCCAATAAGAGGCTAACGAACGAAAGAGACGGAAAATTCGGTCTAGAGTAGGCCTAACTCTAACCTTAAAGTTTTAAACAAGTTAAATAATTCAAGACTTCAATTTAAAAAAAAAAAGCCAGAATAAAGGCAAGCGGTAGTTTTTCTCATATTTGGAGGATCAAAAAATTGATAAAGCAATGAAACATTTACTGCAATAGTGCAATACTTAATAAATTGAGTTTCAGTCTCTTTTTGAGAGTCATTGCATTAAAACCATTTTGCTAGCGACAGGCTAGCGCATCTCAGGAGCAGCGCAGCGCAGCCATATGCCTAGTCATAGCGGGTTTATGGCATTCAGCGTCCCCTACGCTCCGGGCGTAAATCCTCTTTGTGGCTCGCTGATCGTACCTGTGCTGCAATCGGAGCAAGAGCCCTTTCAATCGAACGAGTTTGAATCGTTGATTGGACACCTCTTCCATGATGGCCTCTGTTTTCCACTTCCTTGCGATGTCTCGAAGAGGTTGCCGTCCCTTTTTTTCTGGAGGTAGACTTTTTAAACATCTTTAATTCTACTCTTTTAGTACATTATCTTCTTCTCGTCTAATTTTTGAAAACGTTGCGTTGTCAGGTTTTCAGCGTCGGTTGTCGTTTCGGGTCGATTTACTTAATTCCGGGAATGAGTTTCTAGTCTAATCTTACAGGTCCTATTAGTTCTCCCAATTTGTACAGAAAAGCCAAATGGTTTTTAATTTTTATCTTAATTTTACATAACATAATATTTATTTTTAAAAAATATTTGAAAGAGAATGTTACATAAAATTATAACAGATATCTTTTCTTCTTTGAAAGGAGATTGAACATAAAATAACAATTAACCGATTAGAGAAAGAAATCATGATGGGCCTAGATACATAGACTACAATCCAACTGAAAATAATATTGCGAATATTTTGTATTTCTTTCGGGGAGAGAAAGGGGGTGGGGGGGGGGGGGGGTGGGTCGACCCTTCCTTGGATTCTCCCGTAACTACCTAGCCTAGAACATATCTGCTCATACGGATTTGAGCTTTGGCAATTACAAAAAAGTATTAAATAACCAAATCGCTTCAGATCCGTAGGTCGATCAATAATTTTGTATGTTTGTACTTGGCTGTTTTTGTTTTCTTTCTTCTTCTGATGATGAAGTCTGCCTCCTTCAAATTGACTGAAGATTCTTATGAAAGGCCTATTTGGGAATTTCAAACGCACAAGAAATAGATACGATCAGAGGCGGCATTCCCGGGGGCATGGGAGGGGGCACAGTGCCACCCCACTTTTTCAAGCACCCGAAAAGTGCCCCTTTTACTTTGTAAGAAGTGCCCCTTTTTACATAGGAATAGTGCCCCTTTTACTTTGACAAGTGCCCCTATTAATTTGTAAAAGTGCCTCTTCCCCTTTTCAACTCTGATGAGTGCCCCTTTTATTTGGACATGTGCCCCTTTTCCTTCGACAAGCTCCCATTTTCCTTTGCAGTGTCCATTTTCCATTCTCATAAGTGCCCTTTTTAATCTCTAGCAGGTGCCTTAGTTAACTTGTTGTATTGCCCTTTAGATGCCTAAAAAAGGGTCGATCGGTCGGAATTTTTATTTTTTTAAACTTTTTTTTGTCGCCCTCTCTTTTTCAATTTGACTGTTTGTTTTTTCGTGCTTTTTTCCTCCGCTCTCTTTTGGCTGATATTTCTCAATTTTTATTGCTCTAATACATGTGTTTCAGCGTCATCATTCCTCTATTTAAGGATTTTGAAACTAGGGCAGAAGACAAGTGAGAATTTGGGAATATTCATATCATGCATTTATATCCTATTTAAACAAACAAAATACATATTTTTTTTATTCATTAATAAAAAAATAAATTTAAAAAAAAAACGGTTAAAAAAAAAATTTTTTTTTAAAATGCCGACCGTAGAATTTCATACTTTTGGGTCGGTCGCAAAGGGCAATACAACAAGTTTTTATTTTAGGCCTTAGGTACGAGAAGTTCCTCTTTTCACTTATGATAAGTGCCCCTTCACCTCTGATAATTTCCCTCTTTTTAACATGAGAGGTACGTGCCTCTTTTACTTTGACAATTGCCCCTTCCCCTTTTAATAACAACCCCCATTTTAACTCGGATAAGCGCACCTTATATTTTCACATGTGCCCTTTTCCCTTTCTAATAAGTGTCCCTTTTCCTAATGATAAGTGCCCCATTAAAATATGAGCCCCTTCCTTTCTCATAAGTGCCCACCTCCGATAAATGCCCCTTTAAAATCTGATCGGTGCCCATTTCTTTTAACTAATGCAAATTTTCCTTCATTACAAGTGCACCTTTTTCATTCACATAAGTGGCCCTTTTTATTTCTGGTCATTGCCCCTTTTCAGGTGCGATAAGTGCCTCTTTTTACCTCTGATAATTTCCCTTTTAACAATATATAATATCTTATCAATGCCCCTATCAAAATCTGATAGGGCCCCTTTTCCGTCGACAAATGCCAATTTGCTATTCTCATGACTGACTTTTTTCATCCCTGGTGAGTGCCTCTTTTTGAGGGTGTAAAAGTGCCCCATTTTCACCTCTGATAATTACTCTTGGTACTTTGGCACATGCTTCGTATCTTTCCTGATGAGTGTCCCCTTTTCCTCTCATCATTAAATGCGCCCTAGCTAATTTCAAGCGACTAAGACTAAGAGCAATTCCCCCAAAGCTCGCTCGCTCGCTACGCTCATACGAATCTATAGATGATACACTTATTTTACTTATCAGAGGTCTTTTCAGTCTTCCGTTGGTATTTTCCTCTTCATAAGATGTACTTTTTCGCACTGCGACCTCACACATCTAAGAAATCTTTTCCAGAAAGCGCCCCTTTTTCTTGGTGCCCCCCCCCCCCAGTTTGGAAGTCGCTCGGCCGCCCCTAACCGCATTCTTTGATCCTACTGTTTGGATTGAAATCAATAAAAGTTTGATTTTGAAGTGATTTTGTTCCCGAAATCTAGGCCTATACTTCTCACGCAACAAAGTCCGGTTCGTATTAAGACACAAGTTCAAGTTCAAGTTCAAGTTTATTTGTCTTTCTTCCAACATAAATGTAATACAATTTAACAAATGTATAACATGCAAAGTATATAAGAGGAACACTTATAAGAATCAAGTTCATACAATGCATTTACATGAGAAAACAAAAGAAGAAAAGACGAGGAGACCTAATTAAAGCTTAGCTTGTAGAGGTCAGGTCCCTCAAAAACAATAACATAAACAACAAGAACAGCCTGGTTATAATACATGTAGATTAATACAAGAAATGTTCGCCAAAGGCGCTAAAGTACTAAAACAAATAACTATAAACAATAACCATATGATTATACACATGGTTTAACTGAGTATAAGGGTGGGGAGAAGAGACTATGTACAAAAGGGGGAGATAAGAGTGATAATAATGTGGGATATAGAAATGGAGAGAGGGGGCGGGAGTGGGAAAGAGAGGGAGAGCTCGAGTGGGGGAGAAAGAAAAAAAAATACTTTCACTGTAAACTGAAAGCTAGCTACAGGCGAGAAAGGAAAGAAAAAGGAAAAGGTAAGTCGGCAGTTGCTATACAGTAGTAAATTGAGGAATGGATTAAGTTCAAATATAAATCACGACAGTACAGATTAAGAAACAACTAAGTTAACTTTTAATACTTTGGTTTTTTCTGGACCTAAATTTTGGAACTCTCTAGGCTCTAGCGTTAAGCAATCTGTAAGTCTCTCTTCATTTAAGTGTAAACTTAAGGTTTATCTTCTCGATAAATACTGTGACTCATAGAGTAGTTCATTTTTGTAGTTATTATGGTGCCAAGATATATTATGTATTACTATAAATGTAAATTTTCTTCTTGATATTAATATGTGTCTAACTGAATATTTTCAGATTGTCAACCTCTTATTCCCTCCCCCTGTTGTCTTGTGCCCGTTGTGTGCTGTGCCTATTGTCGATGTGCTGTATTCTTCTATTATTTCTCATATTTTCTCTTTTCTCCCGTCTTGTCTAGTCTAGTCTCTCTTTTTGTTGTTGTTGTTGTGTGTGTGTACACTTCTTGTTTTGTTATACCCCCTTTTCCCTATTGTATTCTTAGGTAGTCACAAATATCTATTCATCATGTTTTATCCGGCTCAGAGGGGACCCTAATAATTACAAGCTCTGCTTTTACCAGGGTCTCCTCGTCTTTCTTTTAGTTAGCTATGTTTTTTATCATTATCATAATTTGTTATTTTGCTTTGTAAATGTGTTATGATCCAATGTTATGCTCTGTATGTCATTTGAAAGAAAGACGAATAAAATCTTATCTTATCTTATCTTATCTTATCTTAAGTAATTATTCAATAAGTACAATTTCAGTTTACGTTTGAAGACAGATATACTGACAGAATGGCTAATGCTTGAGTCAAGAGTGTTCCAAAACCTTGGTCCAGTGCAAACTAAAGTGTTGAGATCGATAAACTTTGTCCTTGCATGGGGTAAGTGGAATGCAGAAGCACCTCTTGTGGCATAATTGTGAATTTGATTGTTTCTCTTGAAAATCTTGGCTAATACCAGTGGCAGTACACCTGAGTTGAGATCATACATTAAGGAACCCAATTGCATATAATAAATATCTTCTACCTTTAAAATCCTATGATGATAAAAAAAGAGGATTTGTATGAGCACGAAAGTCAGCATTACAGATTGTTTTTATTACCCTCTTTTGAGCCAAGAATATTTTATCTAATTGTGTTTTTAGAGATTTGCCCCAAGCAAGCACACCATAATTAATATAAGGTAGAATTAAAGTTGAATACAAGATAAGTAATATGCTTTTAGGAATATAGACTTCAACCTACGAATTACACCAGTATTCCTTGATAATATTTTGCATAGATTATTTACACGAGTTTTCCACTTCAATTGTTCGTCGATATAAAGACCTAAAAATTTAGTTGATGTTACCCTGTCTATCAGAACACCGTTGAACATAATGTCACCGGGCAACATCTTGAGCGAATTGCTATATATCATATAATTGGTTTTTGTAAGATTAAGAGACAGTTTATTAGCATGAATCCATGAGGTAATACTGCGCAACTCCGAGTTCGGCCCATATTGACTTTACACACCGGACTAAGGGGGGGGGGGGGGTACTTTCAAAGGGATTAAACATGCATACGCGTACCCTAAATAATACTGAGTAGGAGGGGGGGGGGGCAGGGGCGGATCTAGCTTTTTGCTAAGGGGGGGGTTGACCAAAATAATGACGATGCGGAGCATCGTCCACGAGCCGCGAAGCGGCGAGCCGATTTTTTTGGGGGTGTTTATTTGAACCCCGTAAGTGATGTTTTCCTGGCATCTATTAACACAATGGAGACCATAAAAAGCAGTGCATGATAACGTCTTTTTAAATCAAGTAACAGTTAAATACACAGTTATATCCAGAGTTATCATGTGTTTGGTTAAGTTACCAGATGAGTTGAAAATCTTCTCACAATATTTGCACTTGAAAGGGTTTCTCTCCAGCGTGCGTTCTTTTTTCTTTCTTTTTTTTTTTCACTTCGGCGGTGGCCCGTGTCCTCAAAAAAGCTGATGGGGGGGGGGGGGGGGCAAGGGACTCTGTGACATTTGTTCGCCCAACCCCCCCCCCCTCCCCCAAAAAAGAAATAATAATAATAATAATAATAATAATAATAATAATAATAATAAATGAAATAAATACATAGAAATAGAATAAAATAAAATTACAAGTTTAAAAAAAAAGATAAGATTAAAAAAAATGGTCCCCGGATTTTTTTTGGGGGGTTGCAACCCCCCCACCCCCCCCTCTAGATCCGCTTCTGGGGGGGGGGGGTGGCCCACCCCTACTCTATCGCACGCCCCACAGCTCCCTAGCTCGATGAATGAAAAAATTGCAGCCTTGTTTTTATTTGCTCGCTACCATATGTAAAAATGTCAGCATTACGGATAGGTCGCACGGATAGGTCGCACTCTCGCCTTACTCTTGGATTATATCTTTGACTTTGTTTCTCATATGGAAATTGGGTTGTTCTTTTTGAAGTTTTTTGTTTTGGATTTATGTGACCACTTTTGGAATAGGAATTTTTCGTACTGAGGTAAGCAAACACTGTGGGCTTTTCATTTCATTTCATTTCATTTCATTGTGGTTAGCTGCACGATACGCGCTATTCAAATTTCGCGCCTTTTTTCGAAAGCCAATCATGGCGGCTCACGCCTCCGAGCCGGAAAGATCCATGATGAGCGAGGATGAAATGGTTTTTCAAACTGTGCAAAACAGGAATCCTGCAAAAAGGCAACGTGGGAGAAGCTCTACTAATATAGAGAACTTAAAACACGCCTCAGAATCATACTCTTCGAACACCACTTTCCACACCACTTCCCCAAACCCAAACCCAAAGGGCTTTAACATTTTCATAACCCCAATAGATAGGACAAAATCTTTGAACAAAGTAAATCCCATACAAATAGCCAAGGCAATTCGGGAAGTTTGCGTGAACCCTGTAGATTTTATCAAAACCACTAATACGGGACTCTTAATCAAGTGTAAAAATACTAAGCAGGTGAAGGCTATCTCAGAGATTAACAAAATAGGAAGTGTTGATGTAAAAGTCAGTGAAGGAGTGAATGGATCAAAGGGAGTCATTTATGACATCCCACAGGAAATGAAGGAAGAGGAAATTCTTAATGAATTGAAAACTCAGAATGTGATTGGGGTGAAGAGGATGGTAAAAAGAGTCCGAACAGATGAAACAATAGAAGGAAAGCGCCAAATCTCTCAAATTCCCATGCGCTGCGTTATTCTAACCTTCAGTAAAGTCACTATCCCCCCTGAAATCCACTTATGTTTCCAAATCAAGCGCGTAAAACAATATGTCCCACCTGTAATTAGATGTTATCAATGCCAAAGATTCGGACACAATGCTTCACAATGTAATTACAATAAAAGATGCGTCAGATGTGGAGAAAACCACTCGTTCGATGACTGTAAAAAAAAAGAAGAACGAAAGTGCGTAAATTGCGGGGAAAACCACTCTGCAGCCTACAGCGGCTGCGCACAAGCAAAAAAGGCAAAGCAGGTTCAACAGATACGGTATGAAAAGGGGCTATCGTACGCAGAAGCAGCTCAGTCCTGGCAGCAACAAAACAAAAAAGTATCAAATCCACAGCCTATTCAACAGAAAAATAAAGCCAACAAAACATTGAGTAAGGAAACAGAAAAACAAACAAACGAACTTCCAGTGCGGAATGTTGGTAAACCTAATAGTACCTACGCACAAGCAGCTGTTCCGTCATTCCTGACCAGAGCAAACACCACCCCACAATTTCAAAACCAGGTTATTCCTCAGGTACCACAGAGTAAAGAGACCATTAATAATCAAGGAACGTCAAATGAAACACCACAAGGCACTCCACCTATGACCAACTTCATAGCCTCGGCTAGTGATGAACAAATTATAGATTTTATTTGCCAACTAATTTTTAAATTCACAGAAGGTAGAACTGAAAAAGAATTGAATACTCTTGTTTGCGTCGCAGCCAAAAGGGCGCTGCAACAAAATAGTACATATGATAGAACAAATGATAGTGATTAATTTACTCATGTCACTTTCCATTATACACTGGAACGCCCAGGGACTCTTAGGGCACGGCAATGAATTATTAAATTATTTAAACTTACACAAGGATTTTAAATATGATATTATTTGCATACAGGAGACCTGGTTTCATAATAACATTATTTTGAATATTCCAGAATATACATGCTTTCCTAGAAACAGACAAAATAATATTAGAGGAGGCTGTGCTATATATGTTCATGATAGGATTAAGTATGAGGGTCCTTTCACAGATGCAAACTTAGAATTACAACAAATGAATGTTTACATAGGGGGGAAAAAATTGTCAATCATTAATTATTATAACCCTTGTAATAAACTGAATGAAAATATTATGAATAAGTTAATGGAAAATGTATCTAACAATGAAAACGTCCTTATAATGGGAGATTTTAATGCTCACAATGTTTTATGGGGCAGCGAGAAAACAGACAAAAACGGTGAAGTAATAGAACATTTTTTGAATAAGAACAGTTTGATTATTTTGAACAATGGAGAGGGGACCAGATTAGACCCACGAACGGGGAAAACATCATGTCTGGATCTAAGTATCACATCTCCTTCTTTGGCGTGTAAGTCTACATGGGGAGTCATGCGGAGTACTTTTGGTAGTGACCACTTCCCAATCTCTCTCCAAGTGTCTCTCGAAAAAAGTACAGATCCGCATAGAGCAAATGCAGGTATGCCTAATGGAAATGTGGTAGAAAAGCCTTTTTCTTTTAAGAATATAAGCTGGTCTAACTTTGCAAAGAAATGTGAAGAAGTATTAAATGGACAGATTACATTAAAAAACACAAATGTAAAGGAAATGTACACCCAATTTATGGAGTACCTAAAAGAAGTTATAAAGGAAGCTGTTCCCCAAAAGAGTAAAAAGAAACAAAACCCGGTCCCATGGTGGACAAAAGAATGTTCTGCTAAAATTAAAGAAAGAAATAAAGCGAGTAACAAGCTCTCTAAAGGTAGAATGATAACGCTGGAGAATATAGATGATTATAGTAACAAGAAAAAAATGGCACAACGAGTTCTCCGCCAAGCAGAACAAAAATATTGGCAAGCGTTTTGCACGAAACTGGACCGTTACATGCCTGAGTCAAAAATCTGGACCTGCATAAAACGACTAAATGGTGTTCCAGGTGCGAGGTCAAAAAATATGTCATCATTGACAGAAAATGACAAAGAAATAACTCGGGAGGATGAAAAGGTGGATGTTTTTGGACGCTACTTTCAATCTTTAGGAATGAGAGAAGATAGGGTAAATGAACAGTATTTAGCTTTAGTAAAGAATAGCATGAATATTCAGGAGAGTGTTATCAATGAACCCTTTTTACTCATTGAATTAGAAAAGGCAGTACAGTCAAAAAGCGGACTGCCCCTGGTCAAGATAACATTCCTTATGAGGTGTATGAAAACTTTCCTAAAGAAACTAAAAAGGTTATGTTAGATATAATAAACAGGATTTGGGGAACAGGGGAAATACCCCTCCCACTGAAGCACTCTATTTTGATACCAATTTTGAAACCTGGAAAAGATCCCCGGAAAGCGTCTTCATATAGACCCATTTCACTCACATCATGCTTCGCCAAAATAATCGAGCGTTTGATCAAAGAAAGGTTACAATGGTATGTAGAAAAACATGAGTTACTACCTAATTTTATTAGCGGGTTTAGAAAAGGGCGGAGTGCCATAGACAACATAGTTCTCCTAGAAAACGATATTCAGAAAAGTATCAATTGTAATGAACACATAATAGCTGTGTTCCTAGATATTGAGAAAGCTTATGATAAATTATGGATAAACGGACTACTATTCAAACTCGCCCAAAAAGGAATAGAAGGAAATTTGTTACAATATCTACAAAATTATTTGACAGGACGTACCTTTCAGGTAAGAATTAATAATACTGAATCAAAAACATATGATATGCATAATGGACTCCCACAAGGAAGTATTTTGAGTCCACTGCTTTTTAATTTAATGATTAGTGATATCCCTACAGATCCTTCAGTGCCCTTAGCTGTATATGCTGATGATTTTGTCATATGGGCATCAGGTAGGGATATCCTTCAAATATCAAGCAAACTTCAGGAATACCTGAATAGACTCCAGACTTGGTTTCGCAGATGGGGATTTCGGCTTTCGGCTGATAAGACAGTCCCTATATTTTTTACAAAAAGTACAATGAATCTCTCACCACCGCAAGTAGAATTAGACGGGAAAAAAGTGCCCTTTCAGAATACTCATCATTTTCTGGGGGTAACTTTTGATAAGAAATTGACCTGGAAGCCACACGTGGAAAATGTTGTAAAGAGATGTAAAAGAAAATTGAATATCCTAAGATGTTTAACGGGAACTAAATGGGGGAGCTCTTCTAAATCCCTCGTAAAGGTTTACAGGGCATTCATAAGATCTTTACTCGACTATGGATGTGAGGCCTACGATAGCGCTACTACCACCACAAAAAAGGCACTTGATTCGGTGCAATACCAGGCGCTACGGATTTGTGCGGGAGGACTACCTCTCACTTCCCTACAATCCTTACAAGTGGAAATGGGGGAATTTCCCTTGGATCTAAGGAGACAAATTGTGTCAAGTAAATATAGACAAAGTATCGAAAGATCCCCAAACCACCCATTATCACAAAACATAGGGCCATGTTGGCAATTTGATTATCTAAAGGGAAAAGACTTTCTTAGTAAACCTTTCGGGTATAGAACCCAGAGTAAAATAAAAAACTTCATGACAGAAACTGCCGTACCATCCCCATTTCCGCCATGGCTTTTTGAACCCCCACTGGTTTCGACCGAGTTGAGCTCTCGGATTTCAAAAGCCGACCATCCGAATGAACTACAGCAACAAAGCTTAAAATTGATTAATACAAAATGGTCGAACCAGTTGCATATATATACAGATGGATCTAAGTTTCCGGAGAAGGGCCAATGCTCGGCTGCTTTCTATATCCCACACTTTTCTGTACACCAATGTAAAAGATTAGCGAATTTTACCTCATCGTATAGAGCCGAGTTGGCTGCAATTGTTCTTGCCCTTCAATGGATCGAAGAAACAAACATCTATACAGGTGCAGTCATTTTTAGCGACTGCTTAAGTGCCCTCACAGCCTTGAAACATTTTAGTGACGAATCCTTTGTCACAGAAATATTTATAATAACGACCCGATTGAAATATAGAGGGATCGAAATCGCTTTGGAATGGATTCCAGGCCACTGTGGGATAGTGGGAAATGAAAAGGCAGACTTCTACGCAAAAAAAGCTCTAACTCAGGAAATTGAAATGCATAATAAATTGACTTTATTTGAAAAGACAAGTTTAATTTTGTACAGTTCAAAGTTACTTTGGCAAGAAAGGTGGAATGATACCCAATCGGCATTAAAAATCCTTCAGCCAAATGTTATCTCACAATATTCTTGTAAATTGGGAAGAAAAACTGAAACTATTCTTAGGCGACTACGCCTGGGAGTGTCTGGACTCAACCAAGACCTCTTGCGTTTGGGCATCCACTCCACAGGTTTCTGTGACAGCTGCCCAACATTAGAAACGGTCAGACATTTTTTGATAGAATGTCCAAAGTATATAATAGAAAGGGCCATGTTAATGTCAGAAGTTAATATTTCCAAGGAAGAGGACATTATGATATGTTTACGAAACAGTGACTCTCATGTACAAATGGCAATTTCTCGCTTCGTTTTTAGAACGAAGCGATTATGTAAAAAGTAAAATCAAAAAGAGATGAAAAACAGAAACCGCAATCAATTTGAGCTGAATAGAAGAGAAAATAGGTTTTTTGTGTATAACCTTATGCCTACACCTGTATTAGTGTCTTATTTGAAGTTTTGATCGTATAGACCTATATATCTTATTTAGGCCTCTTTTAATTTAAAAAAAAAAAAATAATGATTGAAACAATTTAACATTATTTATTTGACCAATCGAAAAACATATCTTAATACATACACACAACTTTAGGGAAGTGGAGAGGAGAGAGAGAGAGAAGGATACATGAAATCTGCTGGGGAAAAGAAAAAAAGCAATTAAAACTTGCTATATCATTACTCGAAAGCATGTCACCCCCCAATGATTATAGTAGTTAAAAGTCATGCGCTATATAAATAATTTCATGAACTAACTCATATAAACTAATAAAGCCCACAAGTGTTTTGCTTATGCAGTTGTCTTTCTCCTAATAAATAAATAAACCCTCTAAACATACAGGTACACGACGCCCCCTTGTCTATGCCAGAGTGACCTAGGTTGAGTTTATCAACCGAGAAGCGTACGGCGTAACATAACTCGCTGGGCTGGTAAGAAGGCATCATAGAAAGGACAGGGCCAGCGTGAGTTGGAACTGTGTGCGGATCGTGGTTTAATTTGAAATAATTTTTTGTTTTTATTTTTTTGTAGACTATGACTAATATTATATTAAAATGAGATTGGAAAAAGAAAAAAAGAAATAATAATTTTACCAAGACATTAAAAGAAAGAGATGCGATGAAATTGGCAACAATAGTCAAATTTGACTAATAGCCATTATAATACCAAACGAACAACAACATCTAAGCAAAAATTTCAAACTTCAAAGTTCCAAAAAAGAGCACACTCCTCTAGCTAGCTGTTAAATTGTACAATTTTATTCAGTCTCTCAAGTATAGAAGAGGAAGGGCTGTCGTGTGGTAACTGGCTAGTGCCTGAGCGTAAAGTATTTGGTAAGTCGGATTCTCCTCAATAAATTTGTATGACTATGAAATGTTTCGCTCGCGCTCTCGAGATCTATGCTTTGCGACTTTGCCTATGCTGTGTGTGTAATTCTTCTAGCTACGGCCTTGGTGGCCGAGCCTGTGGGGGAGTGCAGCGGGCTGGAGCGGTGTGGAGCCAAGTCCTTTCGGATCGGCTGGGTACTGCAACACTTAAGCTACTTTACTATCCTGACTGACGATATCTATTGGTTCTCAACATTTCAAACACCACTGTACAAAACTCAACTGAGTTCACTCAAAATCGGTTCTTGTCTTTAGAGTGACACCTAAACAGGAGTAAAAAAATACACTCTTTTTAACTTCCATGCATGTTACACACTTGTTAGATTTTTAGTTTACTTGCACAACCTTTTAAATGCACCAACATTGGCAACAAGCATGCACTGCAAATGAGCACCTAAGTTGATTCCTCAGCACTACATCCTGACTTATGGATCCTGCTGAGTATCGTCGTAGAATTAGAAGTAGATCTAGAGTTAGAAAAAAATATTTATTAAAATACTTAGTCTAGATCTAGACTCTATTAGAAAATGAAAATCGGGAGTCTACTGTCAGCTGTAGAAATTGCTGATAAAGTGACGATATGCCGATCAGCCACTTTGTATTCATTGTGTGCGGTGGGTGCATTGTGTTTAATTGCTGCCTCTCATCCATGAATCTCAGCCATGGAATGACGAAAAATTAAAATACAACTCACAGTTCCTGGGCCGAGTCGTGGCAACTCACATTCAACTCTGCAAAAACTAAAGTTATGCACATTGGAAAGGGTAACACCAAATCATCGTACCACATAAGCAACCAAATAATCCAAGAAACTGTTGCGGAAAAGGATTTGGGTGTCATGGTAGATGATGAGCTGACTTTTCACACACATATTGACACTGCAGTTAAAAGAGCCAATCAGACGTTAGGACTCATAAAGAAAACTTTCACAAGACTATCAAGAGACACATTACCAATCTTGTTCATGGCCATTGTTTACCATCTTCTTGAATATGGAAATGTCATCTGGCATCCAAGGTTTAAGGCTGAAGCAGTGAAAGTTGAGAAGGTGCAAAGAAGAGCAACAGAGTTAATTCCTGAGTTCCGACACCTATCATATCAAGACAGACTTAAAAACTTTAAAATGTATTCTTTGCAATAAAGAAGGATATGACTGAGGTCTACAAGCTGATGAACGGCCTCGGCCTCGTAAACTCCGATCCCAGCCTTCTTCACATCTGCACCTCATGAAGCTACAAGGGGACACCACCACCAGAAGCTGTATCAAAGGAGCAACACAGCCCTAAGAAGAAACAGCTTCAGTCAGAGAGTAGTCGAATCCTGGAATAGTCTTCCTACATCTGTCATCTCTGCATCTTCACTCACTTCTTTCAAGATCAGATTGGACAAGCACTGGTCCTGTCAGCACCAAATGCTTCCATAAAATTAATATGTGCGTCCACCCGCCATGCGAGCAAAAATAGTTTCAGGTTCATTAGAACAAAGCACCACTCAATGTAACGACCGGAAGTTTCAACAGGATCATCTCACACTTCCGTATACTGATGCTGATGCTGAATAAGCTAAGGTAGACTAGAAAAAAATTGAAGAATGATGTTCAATAGATCTGCTATGAGTCACAACTTTATTTTATCTTATTATTAATCATTGTGTTTGTAAATTGAAATGTACATACAGGTCATGGTATTTTCTTATCGTCCATGATATAATTTTGTTTCTTATGATATCATTTTATAAATTTTACAGGATAGAGTATACAGAAACGTATTTCTACTGATTGAAGCATCAACTCATCAGCATCGCCATGGCAACTCAAGTTGTTGATGTAGCAGTGCAGAGCCTTGGGAAGATGAAGGGTAACATCGCTAGCGGAATGGATGACATCCTGAGTGTAGTGGGGAATTTAGCCGAGGGTGAAGGTAATTTACAAAAAGTACTTTTAACATGCTCATAAATATTGTTACCGGTAACTATATATTTCAATGTTAAATTTGATGGAAAAATTTGTCCTACAATGAAACATAGGGAAAATATCGATTATTTTGTAAGAATAATGAATTTGAATATGTAAGTGAATGTTTATGGCAGTGTTTTCTATGTGTGTTTGCAAAGTGGACTTGTTTCACAAATATCATTGTGATAGATCGTGGTAGCAATTTATATAACAAATTGCTGTGTCCCTAGATTAAAAAAACCCCTTATGAATGCACTGTTAATCAAAAGAAGAAAAAAAGTCAGGGGCTTGCTATTCCAGTTGGTCTGCTCGTACTTTATAGGGGGGGGGGGGATCTGTCAAAAAGTTATTTTGCAGAGAAAATATTATTTGAACACCATAGTTTGGTATAAATGGCCTTAACAGTGAAAACTGCAATTTTACCCTATAGTTCCCAACATGAGTAGGCAAACATATTTTTAGTACTTTTTCATGATATTCTTTTGTTTTTCTCCACAAAATGCAGAGTCGTTTGATGGTGAGAATCTGGATGCCCTGGAGGAGATGCTGTTAGATTACACTTCAATGGAGCGCACTTTGAAACAGTTCACTGCAGCAGTGTCAGAGGTCAAAGCCCAGGTACCCATTTTTTAAATGATTGAATTCCATGTCCAAGTTTGATTTTAAATGGACTGATTAACAAATCTAAGGTAGTAAAGATTAAGTCTGTTCGACTTGTTGACGCATTTACAAGATGTTGGGCCCTATTGCTCTCTTTCAAAAGAGAGCTTTGGCAAGTGGGGGGGGGGGGGGGGGGGGTCAGATATGGGTTTAATTTCTTGGGGACAGGGCATGTCCATACTATGCTTCAGCGGATCACACCTTAAAGCCCCACTGTCCTACTTGTAGCTACTTGCTCCCTCGATATTGAAAACTTCCCCGATCGGTGCCTGTTTGTCCCCCATGATCCTCTTTTTCTTATTTTAGTTGAGAGCTGAGTTGATGAGATAGCCACCTGTCAGTGACCTGGCTGGGTGGTCTAATCCCTTCTAGCTCAGTAGTATTGGCGGTCTTTAAAACAGTTTGTTGCATCAAGGTTCAAACTGGTCAGTAAGTTGAAGAGAAATGAAAACCAGTATTTTCTTGTTTCCGGTCTTTATTGGTTATATAATATAACTAGGTTTGGGGGGGGGGGGAGGGCTGTGGAATCACACACTTTCTACAGGTTTTGAAAGGGATGTGATTTCCTTTTCTTTCCCTATATCTGTTGTGAATTCTATAATATTATAGAAAGGATAGAGCAAGAGTGAAAACAAGTTTAATGAGTGAGTAACCTGCACACCCCCAATCAGTAAGTCAGTTTGCTTTTCCCCCTCCAAGGTACAGATGATGCCAACTACTTTATTGAGAAATTTCAGTATGATTGTCATGACAATGAACACCATTTTCCTTTAATTTAAGATTAACTTGAGTTCTGGTAAATATAGAAAATAAATTCTCACAGAATCCAACAAAACCTACACTGAATGTTCCAGATTAAAAATAAATGACATGTGCCAAACGATTTTGGTGGAAAATGTAAAATGGCTCAGTAGTGAACATAGAAAGATAAGGAAATCTAGGTAAGTTAACACAGGTCACTTTGTCAGGGATGCCAGTTTTTAGGCAAAACCTGGCGATTTATTTTCAGGCTTTAGTTTATGCTTTTTTAGTACAAAATAGCTTATTCTAGGTGATTTTCAGGCCCTCTGGTCAATTCTTACTGGTATCCCTGACTATTTGCAAGTATGGGAGTTGTGGCTTTTATCGAAGATGATGTCTAGTAAGCTTTTGTGCGTTTGTTTTTATTTCACTGGTTCAAACAACCAATCTACTGCAGGATAAACAATCCAGAATAAATTATAGCAATTTTCTCTCAAAATACAATTCCCATACCAGGGCCCCGTCTTACAAAGAGTTACGATTATCTCCTATCTCTTATGTACATTGTTGTGATTGATATCAATTCTTTGTAAGACGGGTTCCAGAGCTCAAGATTAGCTTTAACCTACAAACTAAAATACGGTACATGTAGTTCTCAGAACGTGGCTCCAGCAGACTATTCTTGATTTGATTTCCTCCTAATATTCAGCTCAGAGATTCGGATGTGAGTGTGGAAGAATGTAAGGCACTTCTTGAAGCGGCGCACCAAGACAAGAAGAAGGATAACTATGACAAAGATCTGCAGAGTCATAGCAAGGTCCTGGAGTTCAGGAACAAACTGCAGGAGCTCAGAGAAGGTGACAGATGCTTATCTAGCATTACTTATCTTATTTGATTTTGAAGATCACTGTTATGTTGACCTGTTTAGAGAATTTACCTAATAATCAGGCCCCTAAAGCTCTGCCTTTGTATGGTATTTGTTTTCAAATACCAAATTGTTTTAGAGAGCAGGAGATGTTACTATTTCCATGGAGTTTTTTCTTTCTTTTCTTTTTCAGTTTTCTTTCCTTTTCTTTTTCATTTTCTTTTCTTTTCTTTTTCATTTTTCTTTGCTTTTCTTTTTCATTTTCTTTTCTTTTCTTTCTTTCATTTCATACATTCATTCATTCATTCATTTATTTCTTGGTCCAATGTACATTCAAACAGGGAAACTTGTTTTGCTCACATGGCATTTGCATACAGAAACATTCACCAACCGATGATATAATAATGTGATAAAGATGATATGAATAATATTTTTGTTTAAGTCTTGGTTAATTTTCTATTTCCTTCTGTAGGTTTTCTTTGTTGCTTGCTTGGTAATTTCAACATAATCTTAGGTTTATGAGGTTAAACATCTATCTGGATATGTACTGTACAATTCTTGTTCCTGGATATAGCATTCTTAAACTGAAGATATGGTTTGATAGAACATAGCTGGAGATGCAATATATGGACTCCATTTGAGATGTAATGTTATAGAAGATGCAATGTTATTAAATAGTATAATTATATACATCAGAGATGCCAACTGTTCCGTTTTTGCCGTATTTGATCCGTTTTTTCGCTATGAATACGGCAGTACGTTTTTTGTATGTTTTGTTACGTTTTTTTAATTTTTTAATTTTTTAATTTTATTTATTTTTTATTTATTTATTTATTTTTTTTTTTTTTTTTTAGTGACGTTTTTCTTAATTTCTGATCATGGGCTATGTGTCGTAAGTGTATTATGCACCTACATCTTCAAACGATGCAAGCAGGATGGTTATACGGGCCCCAAACTGCGCACATTGCGAACCACCCACGTGTAATGTATGCACGTTGCGCTCCGATCCGGGTAGGTATACGTGGTACTGCCAGGTTTTTTGTCTCGCCTGCGTAGCAAAAAGCGAGACATAGGCGCCGCTTTTCCGGTAATGTACGGCGGCGACGGCGACGGCGACGGCGACGGCGTCAACATCAAAAACTTAACCTAAGATTAAGTTTTTGAATTTTTGATATAATTTTGAAAGTATAAGTTCTTAGTCAATGAAACTTGGACTATAGGGTTATCAAGTCTCCCCAATCATGTGAGTAGAATTTCAGGTCACTAAGTTAAGGTCAAAGGCCATTTAAGGTCAACAAACTTAGACTTTGTTGTGGCATCAACATTAAGATTTTCAAAATGCTTCTTCTTCGTTATTTTTCAACCGATTTTGATTCTGATTGTTTCATATGATAGGGCTAGGAGGGGATTTAAAATTTCTACACAGAATCGTGAAATTCATTATCTATGCTAATTTATGCAAATTTATTCGAAATCACAAAAAAGGCTTTTTCTCCTTCATTTCTCGACCGATTTTGATTTGGTTTGCTTTATATCGTAGAGCTAAATTTGGTACACTAAACTTCTACACAGAATTTTGAAATTGTTCTCCATTTATTAATTATGGTAATTTATGCAAACTTATTCCAAAAATAACAAAAATTGCTTCTTTTCCCTCATTTCTTGACCGATTTTGCCTTATCTGGTAGAGCTAAATTTGGAACAATAAACTTCTACACAGAATTGTGAGATTTTGCTGCATTGATTATTTATGGTACTTTATGCAAATGAAATGAAATTATGTCCCTTCCAGGGCATCAAATTTCTATTTTTTTGACCAGTTCAAAAGTGTACCACATAAAATTTACGATATTTGTTGTTGTGAGCTGCGGATGAGCGCTACGTCATTGACGTTCTGGTTTATCATATTGAATTGCGTTATGCAGGCGAGACCGCCGAGAGCGTTTCCCTTGTTAAGCTGCTCGATTGGGCGATATGTTAAGTTGAGAGATTTTTTCAAAAATACTGTTTTTTGCTCTTAAGAATACTTTTTTTTGTTGAAGAAGGTTGGCATCTCTGTATACATGTATGTCAAGAAGAAAAGAATTCAGTTAGAGACCATCAACACTCCTGGGCCAGAAAGGATCAGACCACACAGGGAGGTCACTGACAGGTGGCTATCTCATTAACTCAGCTCTCAACTAACATAAGAAAAAGAGTATCATGGGGGACCAACAGGCACCAATTGGGGAGGTTTTCTATATAGAGGGAGCAAGTAGCTACAAGTAGGACAGTGGGGCTTTAAGGGAAGGTTTTTATTTTTAAAGGTTGCTTCTGCAATTGACCATATAATACTAATGACAGGAAAAAAAATGCCTTTTCTTTTGTACTGATGTCACTAGCTCAAGAAGAGGAAGAAGAAGAGGATGAGGCAGGACCGTCTTCTAACGCTGACCAGTCACTCGGAGAGGAGGAGCTAGTGATGACACAGACCGAGGTAGGAACCAAATGTCCGTTCACCCAGCAGGAGATGACGAACCCTGTCAGGAACACCATCTGTGGACATCACTATGAAAAGCGAGGCATTGATGAACTGTTGTCCAAGAGAAAGCGGTTCAGGTAAGTGCTAGGACTATTGTCTGATCTAAACTTCACAATGTGCTCAAAAGTCCAATTTGAATAATAATAATAATAATAATCTCTTAAAGTCCACTCCAAATTTTATTAAGTTAAACCGAAAATGGATTTTTTTTTTTTCCCAATTGATCGTGAGCCGGGCAGCCACTGAGCAGCGCCAAATCGACGTTGCTCTATCCCTTATTGTTGAACGCCAAACAGGGTAGCTGCAACTCCCGTCTTTTAACGTCTTTTGGTATGACACGGCCGGGGTTCGAACCTACGACCTCCTGGTTGTGAGGCGGACACTCTACTGACTGAGCCAACACACCGGTCGAAAGCCTCATTGCTTGTGTAATTTTTTGATTTCGCATTAAATATCCCACTGGAGCAATCATCGTTAAACATGCCCCGTTTTAGTTTGTGGACTATAGAACAGTTTGTTCTGTTCATCATCACCATGGTTTGGGGGTCGGGATCTACTGCCCAAAGGACAGAAGGGTTTTTTACAAATACTGCAACATCATGAGTGAGAAGGTAAAACTCACAAGGTACCACATGCAGTGCAGTTTAAATGGCGTAGCCAAATTGAATGGAATGTTCCATCTTTCACCAAATAAAATATTTTGTACCATCTTGCAAATAAAACATATTTATTATCCTTGATGAGTTGCTAGGAGGTATGCATTGTCTTCCAAATATGTAAAAGAGCACTCATAGGTATTATCATTTCACAGATGTAAGATATTACTTACATAATAATCGATATATCAGTTCTCACTATATCAAACATAATCTTTTACTAGACTTAACAATATACTTCTGTTTTTCTTTCTTTTTTTCTTCTTGTTTTTTGTAAATAGTGTAAATAGTTCACAACAAACCTTTAGGAAGTTTGTTGTCATATTTTATATATTTAAAAGGTGTTGTAACAATTCAAGCTCTATTTGCTTATGTTTCATCATCTTTGTGTGTTTATTCTTTAAACTGTATATTAGTTGCAACTTGTCTCTGATAAAACATTGTTATATTCTTTTCATGTGAAGTCAATTCAAATGAATTGTGAACATGCATAAATAAAATAAATAAATACATTAATAAATAAATAAATGAATAATGTTCACTCATTTTTTCATTATTACCTGGATATTTCTTTATAGATGCCCTCTGCCAGGCTGCAACAATAAGTCCTTCATTGTCCATGAACACCTGCAGCCTGATCAGCACTTCAAGAAACTTTTGGAGAAGCAGAGGAGAGCTAACAAACGCAAGCAGGCAGATAGTATGTATGTAGACTGAGTCAACAAGTAAAACTACCAGTGAAGAGATGCCAAACTTTACCTTACTTATGTACCAACAAGGCATTTATCATCCATTATTATCTGGATTTTGATCAGGCCTTCAAGAAACTTTTTTGAGAAGCGGAGGAGAGCTGACAAACGCAAACAGGCAGATAGTATGTAGAGTAGACTGAGTCAACAAGTAAAATTATCAGTGCCACATATACGCTGATGAGATGGCAAACTTTACCTTACTTTAGTACCCACAAGGCATTTATCATTCATGATTATCTGGATTGTGATCAGGCCTTCAAGGAACTTTTGGAGAAGCAGAGGAGAGCGAACAACGTAAGCAGGCAGTTGGATGTAACCTGAGTGAATGAGTAAACTTTCCAGTACTAAAGATGAGCTAAAGAGATACAACTCTGCAGTTGACATTTGATGGAGAAAGAGGAGAGAAATGGTAATTGATGTTTGTGTTTAGTCATGAGAAATGCTAGGGAAAGGTGACAGAACTGTAGTGTTATTTTATATACTGCATAGGAAGATTCTAGTAGGCGTCTGGTTGGTTAAAACTGCTAAAGATGCATGTAAAGGTAAAGGGATAGTTGAGTTCTTTTCAAAACTGCAAATGCCTTCAAAGTGCAAGGTTATTGCTCTTATTCTTATTTATGACATTTATAGTGCCCTTTTAGAACTTAACATTGCTATGAAGGTAATTTTTAGACCCCAAAATGTGTGAATTGAGATTAAATATGATCATACCAATACAGCTCTACTTTCAAAAAAATATGGTGACCTTTGGACATTTTCCTTACAAAAAATTACATTTTGACAGGCATAATTTTGTCAAAATATCCCTTTTTAAGACTCCACACTCGAAATAAAGTTTATAGAAAGAATATTGAGTGCTTACTCCTTGGTTACCCTGAGACTGCAGCTTGAACTGTACAGGTTGGAGATCACCTTGAGCAATAGTTTTAACCATGCCCCTCAAATAAGACAATAATTGTATTGAAGGCACATGCATTCACACATAACAGGTAAACTGCCTTAACCCTATGAAGCCCGCGGGGGGGGGGGGGGGGGGGGGGGGGGGGGTCTAATAAGTAGTGGGTTATTGATGTAGACAAATGCTCATGTACCTGTTACAGCTCATTTTATGTACATGTTATTACCAAAGAAAATGTCAGTCAGTCACTCAATAGTGTCTGACAGTGAAGTCTAGAAGGTAAACAGGTTTCCTTGCATAATTTGAATACAAGGACACAGCTAATGTTAAAATTGCACAGATTGGACATACATGACACATTTATAATTCCTGCAAAGTTCTACAGAAATTGGTGTTGGCTGCAAAAGGGACATAGTATTTGTAATGTATGTTTTATATTGGGTTAGGGCTGATCGAGTCCTAGGACAATTTTGACTTTTTGTGAACTATTAGAAACTACATTTTGCATCATCTTCACCAGATGATGTCATGAAGATGATGGTAAGGTGTGGCCTTAAATTTTCTTGTAAAAGTAAAAACATTTTCACTTGCCAGCTGATGTCAGAGAGAGATATGTGTAACATATATGCATGTTTTTGTTCCATTTCATTGTTGACATTTTTTCTATTAAAACAAGTTAAAAATCATATGTACAAGTTGTGTCTCATAAATCATGCATTTTTATAGCAAAGGAGGGATTCGAGTTAGAGATTATGAAGATTGATCAAAGGAAAAAAGAGTGAAGAGGAGAGAAGGAGGGAAGATACTTGTGATGTGGAAGTGGAAAGATGTTGCTTTAGAATTGATGTAAGGAGTGAGGTTAGAATGATGAAGCAAATATGATGGATGAGGAGAGGAAAGGAAAGGTATACATCTATAGACGAAAATTTCAGCAGTGGAAGATTGATTTATGTACATGTATGAGTAACAAAGAACTTAGAAAAGGCAGTGTTACAGAATATAGAAATTACATTTAGAAAGTGCATTAGTATGAAAATAATGCCCAGTACAGGGGAAGTTCAAATAACAAGATACAAAAGTGCCTGGAGAGAGGGAGAGAGGTATAACAGAGAATGTTTTAATTATATGAAATAAAGAAGTAATGGGGAAAATATGATATAGAGAGGGAGAGAGATTTGTACATTACAGAAAGTTAAAAAAATACTGAGAGAATGCTAGGTTGACCGAGAGAAAAGGGGAATGATAGACCAGTTCACGGTTAGCAATTGTCCCAAAATGACCCTGAATATCCACAGATCTCCAAAACATGAAGAGGTCCCACTTTGTACATTTTGAAATAATCACTCATCCAGCAATGGAGGTGCTACATAAATAGCCTTTGTTTCCACCTGTGTATCATGGAGTGCACTGCTTGTGCATAAATGAATAATGATTACATAACTTTCACGAGAACGTGTCCAGTACTAGTATTTTGTCTCCGTGGATTTCACAATTTGGTCTACATTGATATTTATCTGGTCATGCTCAGACTGCAACTATGAACTGGCTTATTATTGTGGATGGGTGAAGAATTAAATATCCTCTACAAAATGAGCCACAAGAAAAGAATGGTGGAAAATAAGGAGAAGGATGCAAATTCGGAAGATGATGAGGGGAAGATATGATGGAAGTGGATTACAGATTGGAGAAATACAGAGAAAGAGAGAGTGAAAGATGTATAAGTTATAAGAAAGGATCTTATAACTTAATACAAAGCGCTATGTAGTGATTTGTATGTGGGGTGCGTGTGTTTGTACGTGCGAGAGAGAAAGAGAGAGAGAGAGAGAGAGAGAGAGAGAGAGAGGATAGAGAAACTAAAAGGGGGACTTGGAAGGAATAACATGGGGTAGGTAGATAAAGACATATATATAGAGAGGGGGGAAAGAGACAAAGAGGATAGAGAAAGACGTACAAGAAAATGAATAAGATTGGGTAGGCCTTTTACCGGGGTGGACTAATTAGCAATGTGTATGTCTTAAAGCCTGTATGCACTAGTTTGGCCAAAAGGGATTAGACCTCCCTGCATGGTCACTGACAGGTGGTTATCTCATCAAGTCAGCTCTCACTTAACATAAGAAAAAGGGGACCATGAGGGACCAACGGGTACCGCTTAGGTGTTGTTTGTTATATAGAGGGCGCAAGTAGCTACAAGTAGTGCAGTCCCGCGTTTAATGGGGTCCTTTTTTGCTTTCGAAAATCAATGTCATCTGCTGTCTGTTAATAATTGGGCCTTCATTCAAAGGCGTTAACGTAACGGATTTTAACCCCTTTATAATGATCCCATTTTCCTTTTTATTGAATGTGCATACAAAATTAAACGGACTCAAAATTTACATTTGGCGATACATATATAGATAGTAAGACATACTGATACACAGACACGTACACGCGGGCACACATATATTTATACAGTGCGTCCCAGACAAATACGAAACCTGAAAACAAATTATATTATTGTGAGTGAATATGTTAGCTTTTAAAGAGTATTATGCAATATTTCTCTACACATTTCCTGGATGATCGTGAGGAGCGTACACCATCACATTTCCCCAAAACCAATATATAAACCTTGAGCAAGTAAAAAATAAATGCCCCTTATATGATCGAAAGGGGTGCCCATTCTGAAAGGAAAATTACAAATTCTTTAGGTTAATTTTCTGCCTTCTGCACGTGCCCACCAGACAATACCTTTCTCCCTTTACTACAGTGTACTTTGCCACTGAGTGGCGGATCCAGGGGGGCCCGAGAGGCCCGGGCCTCCTCCCCTGGGGAAAAAACGTGTAAAAACACGTTAATTTTTCCCTTTTTGGGGGAGAGGGCCCCCTCCCCTGGCGCTCAAGGGGGGGGGGGGGGGGGGTGCGATTTTTCAAATTTTCGAGGGCCATACAAAAAAAACGCTCACCCCCCCCCCCCCTTGAGCGCCCCCCACTGAGCGAATTATCGGCCGGCTGTTTCGCCGCTAAATATTTTATCACGAATTGGGCCCCCTCCCCTGCCATCGGCTGGATCCGCCCCTGTTGCCACTTATACTGATTCCAATTGCAGATATATTTACATGTGAGTATAATATATGACCTTGTGAGGCTCACCATCGACAATATCTCAATTTTCCTTTATTTTGTGACGATAGCATTAATTATGCCCTCATTAAAAAAGCACATGGAAACAATCTCCTCTTTTTATTTTAAAGTTTCTGTCTCTCTCAGGTCAGGTTCTGTCATGTATACTCAAACAGTTATTGTGAATTTAATTATATGTAAATATAAGTCCTTACTTTTCGTAAAGTAAAAGTGTAATTTGGTTTCAAAATATATATTGGTTACATTAATTCATTAATTCTTTTGCCTTCAGGTTTAACATTTTTCTTGGACGCACAGTTTATATATCATACACATGTATATAGGCCTATTATATGCTTAATAGGTCAAACGGCATAAAACTATACCACAGAAAGAGAGAGAGAGAGAGAGAGAGAGAGAGAGAGAATGGAACGATGCTCTGGAAAGTACAGATTACAAAAAGGTATGATTAGTACACTCTCACCTACAAAGTGAGATGAGCCAAATCTTCTTAAATCATCAAGATAACGAACCATATCATCTGACCATGCACGTACTTTACAAATAACTTTTGCAGAGCCTAGTTTCATCCATGATTTAACAATCTCCTTTCCGAAGCTCGTTCACATCCCATGAATGAAGGAGAAATAATTATCTGTCAGCATTTATCTTGCCGACACCTTTTAAGACTGCCATTGGCGGGAAAGGAAAATGATGCGCATGGTTGGCCGCGCGTGCGTCGTCGAAGTGTGCGCGTTACGAAAACGTCGCCCATCGGTGAATGGGGAGGGCGTTAAGCCGCTGCTTACGAGAAGTCGTTCGACCAAGAAACGATACTGACAGACGGGTTGCTATTAGAGAACGTGCCACACAAACCCGCCTTCTCCTCGCCTCGAGCTCTCGCTGATTGTTTTTCTCGACTCGGCGCGACGACAGAGCAGTGAAAATAGACGATTTGTTAGACAGGGAATTAACGAGGGAGATAGTTAGAGTTCTTACGGAAATCTCACACGGCGTGGTAATAGGAATGCGATGAAGCGAGACTGTATGAATATCATATGAGCATTGATAAGGAGATAATTGGTTGCTTTTCAGGCGGTAATAAGAGCATTATCTACGTGCGCACTGCACGTGTTGGGATGCCCCCTTTAGAGGTATCGGGGAACTTAAGATTTGGCCAGGCAAGAAAGGACTAAACAATCTGTTGTCGTTGGAACATAAACTCAGTGCGTAGGTCTGATTTAGTCGACCTCTAATCCCAGTAAAGAGAGTGATTTATATGACCCGTTTCGGTGACTCGCTGATGACTGTGATGATCTAGCTTCAAAGCGAGGATCTGAGATGAACCTTTTACGATCGATGTAGCCCATATCGTAACAAGCTGTTTCAGGACTTCAAAAGATCGCAAAGGCTTTCAACAAATCAAATTTAGGGCAATTTTAATAACCCA